ACCCCCAACCTGCCACCCCCAACCCCCACCCCCACCCACACACACACACACATAGGGTCAAGGGAAATTGAGGGTTTAGGGTTTTCAGGGTTCTGAGTTTCGAGGCTTGAGCGTTTGGGCTTTACAGGCCGCGCGTGCATCGGGCAGGGATTATGAACGGTTTCGGGCTTAGGCTTCGGGGTTTTAGTGGGGGTGTAGCCTGGCTTCTTGGAAGTCCGCTGTTCTTGAACCCCCGTCCCCCCCCCCGCGCTTCCAAAATCTGGACGGGGCAAAGCACGCGCTCCCAGGAACCTCGCATAACCCAAGAACTCCCTGCGATCTCGGCCTCGTCTGTCATCTTGCCCACAAACCCCAAACCCTAAACCCTAAATCCTAAACCCTAAACCCTAAACCGTAAACCCTAAACCCTAATCCCTAAACCCTAGCCTAAACCCTAAACCTTGTCCTGAGCCACCCCTAGACCCTAAACCCTAAACCCTAAAGGGTTTTCGGGCTCCAAGGCTTTGCGCGTTTTCGAGGTTTAAGGAAAGTTTAAGGCTTGGATGCTTTAAGCCTCAGGGCTTGTGCAAGTGTGGTGTGTCGAGCTCTAGGGCGCCTAAGTGCATTGAACGCGAGTTTTCTCGGTTTACAGGGCCTAGGGCTGTGCTGCATAGTTTCGAGGCCTCTCGAGGACTGTGAGGTTTGGGGCTTTAAATGGGCTGCGGGTTCACGCGCGTTCCAAGACCGCGCACCCAGTAAGCCCCAAGCCCCAGCTGAAGGCTATCCTGCTTGAATGGGAAGCTACCCAAAAACCCTAAGCCCCAAAAACCCCGGACCCCTGGGGGGCCTCTGGGGTGTCTCCCACTGCGCGGGCTTGGCCTTGTCCACAAAGTCGACGGAGTTGGCCTAAGGTGGGGTTTAAGTTTAGGTTTTAGGGTTTCGGGTTTAGGGGTTCAAGATTTTGGGTTAAGTGTACTGATACCCTACATGTAGAGGACTTATAAGGCCATACAACTTGACGCGGCGCACGCACAGCCGCTCCCTACATGCGGCGCACGCACTGCCGCTGATGATAGTCGCACATGGAGTTGGTATCCCACTGAGTCCGCGGCCATTTGTCCACCATGGTCTTGTCCACGCGAAAGACTATATATATATATATATATATATATATATATACGTAATCCGCGGCCGGAGCCCACAGTGCCTTGGCCCCCCTTGGAGGGGGTCGGCGGCACTGGCGGTAGCCATTAAATCGGGCAGCGCGAGGTCCCCAAAGGACCGGGCAAATGCGGACCTTTTAGCCCGGGTCGTCCCGGGAATAGCCTTGCTGGCCTCTGGCCTTCTGCGAAGCAGAATTAGGCCGGACGCCAGTGCCGCCGACCCCCGCGTGCCGCCGGTGAACGGTTTTTTTTTCGTGGTTTTTTTGCGTCGCCACGGAGGCCCCCAGAGGGCGCGCATCATGAGCATCAGCGGGTCCAGCCCGGGACCCCCAGGCGCGCATCAGGAGCATCAGCGGCTCCCGGGGCGGGACCGCGGGGGGGCATCAGGAGCATGATGCCCCCCAAAGGGCGGGCATAAGCGACGTGTCTAAGCCCGGGGCTAGGAAAAAGGGAGTTTAGGGGCCTTATAAAGTGCAGTGCTTAGAAACGTTAAGGGAGTCTCGGAGCCTCAAACGCTTAGAGATTTGAAGGGGGTTTAGGGGCCTGAAAATGCTTAGAAACTTAACGCTTAGAGATTTTAAGGGAGTTTAGGGGCCTCAACATGCTTAGAAACTGCTCGCCCCGGGCTTCTGCGTGCGCTGCCCGCCCATGGGCGCAGCCCCTTAAAATACATATTTATTATAACATATGATGTTATGTTATGTTTGCTACAGAACTGAATATACCATAATGACCAAAAACTAATGAATACAAAACAAACTTTACCACGGGACCGGGAAGCCACGGGACCAGAGGGCCAGAGGACCGGAGGACCGGAGGACCAGAGGACCACGTGACCAGAGGACCTTAGGAGCACAGCACCAAGCAACCAGAAGGCCAGAATACGTATGCTGTGAAGCAAGCTGGCACGACTTCTTCCTTGCTTTTTTTCTTTTGTTATTTCTTGTCTTTTTCTTTCTTTCTTGATTCCTTCCTTCCTTCCTTTTCCTTTTCCTTTTCCTTTTCCTTTTCCTTTTCCTTTCCTTTCCTTTCTCTCCTCTCCTCTCCTTGCCTTTCCTTTCCTTGCCTTTCCTTTCCTTGCCTTTCCTTCCTTCCCTGCTTCCTTGCTTCCTTGCTTCCTTGCTTCCTTGCTTCCTTCCTTCCTTCCTTCCTTTCTTCCTTCCTTCCTTCCTGGCCTTCCGTCCTTTCGCCCTTCCTTCCCTCCCTCCCTCCTTTTCTCCCTCCCTCCATCCCATTTTCTCTTTCTGCGTCGGAAGAACAGAATAGTTTTTTTTGATCCTAAATAAATTTTTCTTGATCCTAAATAAATTTTTTCTTGATCCTAAATAACTTGTTTTTTGATCCGCATCCCCAACGCAACACCTGTACAAAACAGAAGCAAAATGCCCCTGCAACTACACCCCCCCCACCAGTGGCTGACAGCGAGTGATGGACATCGCCACGGCGTTGCCCAAGACTCGGCCTGAACACCAACCAAAAGCATGACTCGAAAAATGGGGGGGGGGGGGGGGAGGGGGCTCAGCTTGTTATGCGGGAGTTGTGCTCAAGAGATCCTCGAAACCCACCTTCCCAATTCAGGGCTCGGCCTGCTTGAAGCGAGAGCAGGGACCCACAGCCATGCGCGAAGCCGCCAGCAAGGCCCAGAAAGTGGTTCCAGGCCCTGAGCTCCAGGTAGTTCGCCCAGAAGTTCAGGCTCACTCCTGAAGCTTGCAGCTGCGAGTTAGCGTGCGGTTTTTTGGCCTTGAAGCCATGTCCCAGGCTTCCGTATTAATTGTTGGGAGTGGAGGGGGGTGAGGGACCCGCCTGAGTGCAACGGCCAGCGGCAGAGAAGCGGCAGGAGGAGCAGCGCGGCCAGCAGCGCCCCCACGGCCTCTGGAACACATGTGGCGGTTTAAAGCATGTGCTTCTCTCAGCTTCAGTCTCAGAATGGAGAAAAGTGTGGGTGCGTAGGTGCGTACGTGCGCCGCGCATACGTATACGTACCTACGTGCACGCACGCGCTCTCGCGTGCACGTGTGGGTGCGCCCGTGCTTGCTGTTTTTGCACGGTGCTCATTTGGTAGCGCTTCTGAACGTCCTCCTGCGTAGTGGCTGACTTCATCAATGTACTAGCCCCGATACCGAGACCTGCCACAGCCTTTGTGGTCGCCTCTCTATCGCAACTCAACTTTCTGGCTTCTCCTACTCCCCAAGGATCCGCCCGACTGCAATCCTACTGACCCTGAACTTGCGGTCGGGGTTGAGTGTTTTTGAAGAAAGGGTATCGGGGGCTAGGAGGGACGGCTCGATGGCGAGTTCTTAGTTGTACCTGTAGCATGTAACAGTCCTCTGAGCTGGTCTTGTCTGACATGCGTCCAGGGAGCGTAGACGAGGAAAAACGCGGATGCGTTGAGCTGCGTGGTGAAGGCATTCCCCCACTGCGTCTGCCCCTCGACGCAGGAGCTGATGCAGGGCCATAAGGCGAAGCAAAAGCCTCCAATGGCTGCAAAGGTGAGGCCCAGATTCCCGCGCTTTACAGCGCGGGCATTGGCCCAGCCGGATGCAGCCGTCAGCACCTGTGTGCCTACGATCCCCTGATCCCAAAGTTCGAAAGTCTCGAAAGCCTACGAGGCCGTTCCAAACCCGATTTGAACTGTTTGCGTGTAGAGGTGCAAGCAAAAAGGTGTGTCAAGTTTACATAGGGAGGGTGCAGGTACCACCAAGATGAACGACACTGAAAGACTCCGGGCCGCAAACCCTGGCGCTGCTTCTTAGGCTTAGAAGACGAGCGTTGTGTGAAGAACCCCAGGTGCTGGCAGGATTTGGGTAAGCTTAAAGTGGAGGCTCAATTGAGTTTGGGGAACTTGGGGCCCAAAAAACCTGCTGGGAGCCGATGGAGCTGACCGGTAGCGCAGAACCGCGGGTCAGGAAGGTGACTGCTGTGGAGTTCAAGCTCCGCGCGAAGGAGCCAGCAGCGACGGAGGTGGCCCGGAAGGACCAGAAGCTCAGACTGCTGAACTGACTCCTTGCTCGGCAGAAACCTACAAGCTATACATCAACAAACCTGTACTGTCATAAACATATACAGACATACAAAGAAAAGACGAGGTATCCATCTTGGTATACTGTACCTGACCTGTGTGCAAAACTACATACATGGGTTAAGCTATACAGTGCGTTTCTTTGTCATGCGAGATTACGTGTGAGGGTTTCCAGAAGACTCATATGATTGGCCGCAATCTTGCATTTGCAAACACGCCGCTCGCGTGATGGGTTTCAACAAAACCCCCCGGTTTGCAAACACAGTGCTCGCAGGATGAGGAAAAGACTCACATGCCTTTGTTATTTACAGGTTTTGCAAAGGTAAAAACCTTAGGGCTTTGCGGGGTTTCTCCCTAAAAACCAGACGGGGTGAGCCCTATGGGGTTTAAACCCTGTAGGGTCTAAGGCTTAGGGATGTAGACGTTACCTATAGGATTAGAACCTTATGACCCTGTAGGGCTTGAGGCAAAAGCCCCGAAACCCGAAATCCTGTAGGGCTTGCCCCCTATGGCCATGCAAAGAAGAAAAATATGGGATATATGTCTTGTAGATTCAAATACAGAATCTGGAGAAGGAAGGCTAGTAGGCCTCGAACCATACGACTAGGAAGCGTTCGAGCGCATAGGGTGATGCAAAACACACACACACACACACACACGTCCTGCAAGCCCTGGGGGCGCGAGAATACGGTGCGCAAATCATCTTTCCTCCACATATGACATCATAACCTTACAAATGTTCATGCAAAAGGAAGGCTCAACAGGAGGGGATATACATATATACTAATATATACACATGTGCCGCAACAAATCAGGAACACACAAAAACACACACCGAAAAACAAACGCAGGCCCCGCAGCTCACCGCACTCCAAGCTTTCCCCCCGCCCATTTTTTGTTGGTTTTGAATCGCATCGCAATTTCGTTCGAATTTTCTCGTCCCTTGCTTTGTCATTGCAACACACGGCTGGAAACAAATCGTACGGTACGAAGATTTGCTATTTCAATGCTTCGGGTCCCGGCTTTCTCATTGTGGCACGCAAGGCTGCAAAAACATGGCACCCCTTGTGTTGGCACTTTATTCTTGCGTTGCAGCTGTCAAGGTCCGGTCCCCTGTGAGGAGTTCAGACCACAGCTGGGATGCAGCAGAGCCTCGACATGCATCCGAAGCACAGCAGCTGGCTCTGCTCTCGGTCTTCTGCTGCGCAGTCCTTCTGCAGATTCCAGTGGCACCAGCCATCCAGCAGCGTCGCGCCAAGAACGGCGACTACACCTGGACTGCAGGCCAACTCGCCACATACCGCGAATGCGCAGCAGGTCACAGTTCTCACCAAAACAAAACATCAAAATCAAAAGAGATGAAACCACCGAAATTGCGCGCCTGCGAAGGACAGAAGCACATGTTCTGTCGAGCCCCAGCCCTCTACGAACAGGAGGAATGGGACGCCAAGGGCCATCTCCACGCCCAGCAGGATGATGGTCGGCATCGCCATGCCAGCAAGATCGATGGAGGCCACGGCCAGCAGCGAGCCTAAACTCGAATCGGCTACCCTCATAAGCATCCTCTTCTGCTTTTTGGACATGAGCAGACTTCAGTAGCAGAGTAGAAGAAGATTCGTGTTCGGCTATCAGGCTTGCTTGCAATGCTTCTTGCGAAGAATTGTGCAGCAGAATCGACTGCCCCGGGCCTAGAGCGAAGAGGAGTCCGGCAATGGCGCTGACCACGAACACCACGGCACCGGAAGGATCGGCGGCCGCGGCCTGCAGCGAAGGCGCCGCGTCCTCTGAAACTAGGAGGGGGCATCCGCGCCACCGCATGTGACACATCTCCAAACTTGCTGGGTCCCTCCCGAAAATACGACCTAAGCGAGCTGCGAACTACAAGTTTCACATGCTTTCATGATGCTGAACATAGCAGCAGCCAGTTCAGTAAGGATTATAGAGATAAATACCTTGGATGCGCCCTGGGCCCCGGGCGAGCTAATTTGGGGAACGATGTGTCAAGCAGTGACATTCTTTACGGTCTTCAGGCTGCGCAAGGTCTCCTGCAGCAGTATGCAGCCAGCCAGCAAGTGGCCGAGGATGTAGTCAAAGAAGTACAACCTGCCGGTCTCAAGCCCTTCAGAAAAAAAAAAAAAAAGGGGACGCTCAGTTGTGGGAGATACGATATCACAGCACCAAACATCTAGCCAAGAAGCTCGAAGCGGATGCGTGACAGTAGCAGGGTGTTGGCCCAAGAGCCCCAGAGGAACATGGCTGCCAACGCCAGCAGCAGGGCCACGGGCTTCTCCATGGCTTGCGGTGTTAAGCCATGCTCAACAACTGTGTTCCACTCGATGCGAGAAGCTGGACCACCGATGTCCCGACTTGTTTTGTTCCCGCTCAACATCAAGATCCCGCAACGCAAACACCCTTACCAGGACTTTATCAGCTTGCACCCAGAGGACCCAGAGTGCTTCTATTCTGATTGGACTTCGAGCCCTTTGGCACCATCGCTAAGTTTCAAACAACATCGACTTGGACGAACGCTGCGACAGCGCCCTGCCAGAACAGCCTAGATGTCCTGATGTTGCGTGTTAATTATTTAGACGCGTACCTTGTTTGTGGTAGGTGGTGAGGGGGCCAGTGTGGGGATTAGGCAATGCGTGCTGGGATGCTTCCTAAACTGCAAGAGCGCCCAAAACCTACACTTGCGCAAGTCATCGGACGTTCTCTGTGCCTGGCATATTATACCCTACGGGTTTAGTTGTGGGGTGGGTTTTGTGTCGTAATTTACAAGGTTTCTTGTTTTTAGGGCTGGGAAAAAATAATCATTGGAAGTGCCTTTTGTTGATATTGTAGGTGATAAGAGGCTGAGTGCTGAGGAGGTCGAAGGTTGAGCTTCGCGGTCAGGTGCGAGGTTGAGCTTGAGGGAAACGTAGTTTGACAGACGCGACGTGGACGTCAAGTTGAAAGCCTTCTCATCAGCAACAGGGCAAAGTTGTATGCCAGGCTGGCGCAGGAACATAACTTGAAGCATGAGTTCGTCGTGCATTCTCGGGGAGAATGGTCGCGGGATCACAACTCGCTGTCCGACGGCAAACTGAAGATCAATACCGGTCTTGTCGACCAACGTTGGTCCAACATCAACGCCTTCTTACCCAAAACGCTCACAGCAAGCGGCAAGCAAGAGGGGCAGTTCAACAAGGACCTGTTTCTGTATGTGTACTCGTGCTGGCTGAGGTCACATTTTCCAGACGTTCAGACACGAACGAGAATGATCGTGAATGATTTGAAAAGGGGTCTGGCCTAAGCACGGTCAGAAAGCGGGGCATTGGCAGAACAGCCGACAGCGCTGGAGGGGCGCCTGCAAAAAGACCGACGCATGAGTGTTTTGTGGAAAGCGTTGTTGAGCAGCATATACTTTTCTAGGACTTTTCAACTCGTCTATTGCGGCCTGACGCAGGCCGAGGGAAGAAAGAAGATGAGCCCGTGTCGCCGACCGTGTCTGAGGTCAACTGCTACCTGGCACATGCGTTGGAAGAAGCTAGGCTTCAGCTAGGCGGTTTCAGACTCAGTAACAGGTTCGAGCAGGTACTCGCACCCTGCATTTTTCAGTAATTCTTGCGCAGAGTCGATGCTTTATCTTGACTTTTGTTTCTTGCACATACACGCGACGGCCGTGGATGAGATACAAAGACTTTCATCAGAGGATGATGCAGAACCTGGCCGAAGCACTTCAGAACAAGAAGAAGACAGAAACCGGTTGCAGACAGTGGGACACTTCAGCTCCAAAGAGCAAGGCTGCCGTGAGAAAAGCTGCGGTCAAGACAAAGGCCCATGCAGCCGGTCGCAGTTTTACGGGGCATGCCCCAAGTGCGGCACTGCCCGAAGCCCATTTTTGACTCCGGCCCATATCGCGAGTTGCGAGTCGTTTGCAACCAGTTTTGGCGCCGAAGCTCGCAGAACCAACGGAAATGTTGGACGCATGGCAAGTGGCAAGGGCAAGCGCTGCAAAAAAAACACAGAACGATGGTCCAATTCACCATGCAGGCCAGTATTTCAAATTCGCAACCCAAAAACTGCTACGGAATCGCGTACGCGATTAAGGAAAACGCAGTGTCGCAACATCCACGCACGGAAAGGAAGAACAAGAACATGCTTCTCAACAAGGGCGAAAACATCGCGCAGGACAGTGTTTTCGAACAAGCAGACAAGTCCGTGAAGCAGAGCCGCAAGAAAAAAAGCAAAAACATGGGGAAAAACCCACCCGCAACTGAACCCGTTAGGATATTGTAATATAATAACTCCGCGCGTATTTCGTTCATTTCATATTGAATTTCGTGCATTCGCTTCGCTTCTTTACAAATTCAATATTAAATTCGCTTCATAGTTTTAATATTATCCCGGGCTCACAGTAATAATATAATCATTGCCCGGGGCGTACTTCGTTCACGAGTTTGCGCACTAATATTAATACGGTTCATGCATTCACTTATAACCGTATTACCTTACTGCGCTCACTCTGTTCTCTTCGTAGGACATTCATTTCACCTCCAAGAAACCCATGCATTTAGTACTATCCCGCGAGGTTGGTTGACAATAAGATTCACCATTAGGACGTAGCATTCATCTCTCTCACTCTTGTTCCACAGCCTTGTTCACCCATCACACCTTGAGACCCTGTTAACGCCTGGTCTGGATAACACTCACTCTAATAGTAATATCCTCACTCTCCAACCCTTCGGGACCCCAACATCGGGTTCTCTGGGTGTGTGCTCTTTTCCCCTTCATTCGTGCATTCAAAAAAAACTATTATAAGAGCACGCATGAATAATAGAAAATTGAGTGCACAAGACGATGGAAAAGAGCCCCTTTATAATACTACGAGCGAAGCGTGTTTTTCTTACCTTCGTTCGTACTATTATTATTAATGTTAACTCTTCGCTCCTTACAAACCAACCTGTGAATCATGCACAAGGAACCGCCCCTAGAAACCGTACGATCATGACAACACCCCAAAAGACCCCCAAAATTAGGGGAATTTAAGGGAGTTTTCGTGCACTCACTTGTTCACTTACAAAACCACATAAAATATACTAAATGTAGGTTTTGGTGGAGAGAGCGGTTAACCTTTACTTTTTCTTTCGTGCACCATCAATCTCATGACACCTTAACTGCCCGAGAGTCCGTCCATGAAGATCATGAAGAGCACCCTTTCTAATATTATAAAAGGGACGCACGCTATAATATTGTTAATGGTTCCGTTTCATGCGTACGGACAGACCACTCATGGAGACCGCCCCAAGAAAAACCCAATAAAATAGTACTCTCCTTCTTCTCTCCTTCTCTCCTCCTTCTCTCCTTCTCTCCTCCTTCTCTCCTCCTTCTCTCCTCTCCTCCTCCTTCTCTCCTCCTTCTCCTCCTTCTCTCCTCCTTCTCTCCTTCTCTCCTTCTCTCCTTCTCTCCTTCTCTCCTTCTCTCCTTCTCTCCTCCTCTCCTCCTCTCCTCCTCTCCTCCTCTCCTCCTCTCCTCCGGATGGGAGGAAAGCAGATCGTGAAAATCAAGTGACAGCAAGCTCGCAGGCCGTCCTCATCGGCTGCGGCCGCGCCGCTGTGCGGCGGGCGCCTGCCTAGGCTGCAACTCTTGCAGCGCCATAACCGCACGGCGCAACTGAAGCTGCACCATGCGGTTGCGGCGCTCTGACTTCTTGGAGTTCTTTGAGCTCCTGGCCCCACAATAGCAAAAGCACGGTCTTGGACACTAATTGTTTTTTAGACCCCGGAGTCCTGCAGCTCTTCGTGCAACAACACCACGCATTGCGTGGATGTCGCCAGCTGCTGTTGAAGCTCTTGCAGCTGCAAGGCCCTGCAGCTAGTTTTGGAGCTTTGTGACCAACAGTCTTGAAAGGCCCTGGCTCCTAACTTGAAACGCTGACTCTGACACCTTTGGTTTCGGACCGAGGATTCAAACCTGATAGGAGCCACGAACCCGAACGCAGATACGTATTACTCAGCATTTATTACCCACCACCAAAACAACCGCACATAGTAAGCGAAGACAACCCACAAGGTGCCCAAATGCTGGGTTTACACACACGAACGAAAGGGGTGCCAACATGCAGGGTGCGTCAACACTTTTGAGACATGAATCACACACCCAAACAAAGCGCAAACACGCGGGCTTTTTCAACACCCCTGACACATACCAGTAACATCACCAAAAAAGTTGAAAAGCACAAGCATGCATTTTTCCCGCTGGACTCCCGCAAAGTACAGCTCGAGGCTTGTCCCCAAATGAACGATTTTGAACACACGTGAACGCTCTCGAGCGCTTGCGAACGCCCGCCAAATTTCTCGGAAACCGATTCCACCCCCCAGTCCCCCAACCTATCAAACAGGGAAACCTTCTGCTACGCTTCGGGAAAAAGGAGCTAAGCAAAATTGCAAATATTATCCGTTTCGAACGGTGCTTAAATGCACAATAAACTCCTGTACTAGCTGCTCGATCTCCAGAGCATTCACACAAGGGGACAAGGTTGGGGTGTAGGATTTAGGGCACACGTCAGGTTGCAGGATCCACAGATCCACACCAAGCTTCAAATCCTCAAAGTTTATAGACGTGGGTTTAGAGATTGAGTCGCGGTTCAGGGTTTACCCCCCAGGAAATACAAACAGGGCTGGGAGTTTGGATTTCAACTTGTAGGGTCAAGCACTGCACGGTTGAAACCCTGCAGCCTCCCCCGCCCCCCCATTTTCCCCAATCCAGGACTTGCCGCCTCAGCTGCAAGCTCAGTGAACGCTTGCCGGATGCTTTCTGCAGTGACTGTAGTGAGGCCCTTCTTGTTCCAGCGGATGAAGAGAACGTGATGGACCTGCTGACATGAGCACGCGGACACACGGAAGCGATGATTTTCGGCAGGCTACCCTTTCGCCTCTTTCTGCTGTGTGCTTCTGTATTGTAGCTTTGACCTGCAGCTCCATCCACGTTGACCGTGCTAACCCGACAAGAATCTTAAAAGATGATTATGAGATTGGTCTCCCACTTGGCCAATGTCCATTTGCACTTGGCCAGCGCTGCTCCGTCCATACTTTGCTTCCGCAAGGCGCAGGATTGCCTGTGCGGCAAGGTGCCCAAAAGCGAAAACAAATATAAATGGCCTTTCCAAGCTCTTACGCACAGCCGTACTATGCCCCTGATGGTAGACGCGAGGGTAGGTTGTTAGCTAGCCGTGGCACTGGCACAAGAAAATCACCGTGCAATAACAAAAACACTGACGACGTGGAAAAAGCAGCTGCAGCGAAATGCAATCAATGCAACCGTTTAAACGATTAAACTACTGGTTGTTGTCGTTGTTAGACAGGTAATTTGTTTTGATAGAGGCCAAAGCCATGAATACATCCGATGGACGGAAAGACGAACTGAGCTGAAATAATCGCAGTCCTCAGGATCTGGCCTCCAGTGCGGCAGGGTCCACCCTCACACGCAGGGCAAGGCTAAGCTGCTCGTCATCGTGCACGCTTGCGCTGTTCTTCTTCGCATTAGGCGAAGTGATGTGCCAGGTCAAGATCCGATTGAGGATTGCGAACCAGAGCCTGGGCTAGACAGGGCGAACATCAAGAACCCGGAGGAGGATTCCGGAATCAGGATGAGCTGAAGCCATTGGAGCTGAGGACATTGTACGCGCAACATCCTTTGCAGGAAGGGCCCTGAGGGGCTTCAGGCAGAAATGTTTCAGGCAGTCCAGCAATACAAGGTTTAACTTGGTCGTAGGTGCCTCCTATTCAGAATATGGGGAAGAGTTTCAAGCTCGGGCCATGAAGGCGTTGATAGCTGATCATGGCATTCATCACTCATCGAGATCCAGTGGCTCAGGGTAAGCTACGATTCCATTGTGGATAGATGGGTCGAAGCTCGCGCTTGCACACTCCTGGCGGGCGTGCCTGCTGGGAGAACGACCCAGTTCAACATTCTGCGCACAGGCATTCAGGTGAAGAATTGCCGCCAATAGGTAGGGCCAGGTAGGGTTGATGGGAAGATTAGTCCAGCATTTGGTGGAGTGGCGTGGGCTTAGGGTTCTACAGGGGTAAGGCGTGTGTTCTGGTCGGGAGGATGGAAGTTCAGCAATAGGTAAGGGAGTCCGCAAGGGAGCGATCATTCTCGAGGAGGAGGAACCCGCTTTAAGCTTTCCGATCTTGAGGTTGAACCTGAGCTTCCCGATCCAAATCACCCGCTCAAGTGGTAAAATGCGTCCGCCCACAAGAGATGGACCAATTGTACCAACATTTCATTTTACCGTCCATGGTCGATTCAATGTTGGGTCATTCTAATATTGCTTGGGTTGGTATGTGTCATGGAGCTCATGCGGAGATCATGGCATGGATAGAGCTCCGTACCACTACGGTGCGCGGTCACACACGCAGTTCCTCTCACGACTGGCCACCAAGCTGGGAGTGACCAAACTTTTCAACGACGTGTACTTGAACTTTGCTGCGAATTGATGATCACTGCACATTCACTGCACCTAGACCTGCTCTAGAAGCAGGCGAGTGAAACCGCCGCCGGGCTTTGGGGTCGGCTGGTCTTTGCCTTCTTGATCCACTGTCTGCTACATGCTAGTCATCATGTTGAGTCGTGCTCCCCCGAAGTTCACTCAGTTCTGCGCAAATTGGGGCATCATTGGCTACCAGCCTCAGTTGACCCAGGTGAAACGCGGCGTGGCTGAAACTCCAGAATCTCCAGAATCCAGCTTCCAAATACAGCCGGACCGGGGCGTTCTTTCGGGCAAATGTGTACATCGGTCCTGGATGCCTCTGCCCAAGAGTGTTTCATGGGCGACTTGGAATCCAGGCCATGAGCAGACTGCAGATGCAAGGTGCGAGTTGCATAGGCCCAGTCATAATACAACACTTCCCCTTTTACCGGGCATCATGGTCTGTCAGCTCATGGCAGTGCAAGCGGCAGTTGACAAAAAAGGAGACAACCGATGTAAAGTGTTTTCTTTTGGTCGGTTCCACGTTTAGCCGTTTACTGCAGACTTTGGGCTGAAGGTCCTCTAGTTTTCCCCATTGTTTCGCCAACCGCCCTTCTGAGGTCTCATGGCCTCACCTTGGAGCTCGCGGCGCGCTTGGTCTCCTTCGGGGCCTGAACGGTCTTCTCACAAGCAACTGGCGGGGGTTCCAGGATCGTTTGCGACGGGGTTTTGAGCACCCCGAATCAATGCAACCCCGGATTTAGCAAGCTCTGTCAAATCGAATCATGGGCCACATTCTCACAGCGTCGTGCAGTTCAAGAAATGCATGCTGTAAGGAAGCCCGCGTGACAGTTGCTCAATTCGGAGAACCACTACAGAAACCAAACAAACTCACAAAACTCTCCGGACAGCGCTGACTGGGCAAGGCGCGGGGGAATCTGCGATTATCAGGCATTTCAAAACGGTCAGGACCGAAACGCGGCCGCTACACAGTTCTTGCGGCACCCGACAAAAGCGTTTTTGGAGGTTTCATCGTGGTCGCACCTCCAGCGCATCGAGAGACTCGTCTGTCCAGTAGCTCATGCTACTCCTGCAGGGGGACGACCGAAGGGGCCTTCCGCCTACGCAGCCCGCGGGCACCCAATCACGAGTGCTACTCTCAGAGCCCGAGCTCAGATCAACTAAGCATCCCGAATCCCTAAAGCATGCTACTAGGCTTCCTAAGCTTGCTAAATCCCGCGCGGCCTTCGAGGCTTGGACTTGAGCCTCTTGCTGGCACCCGAGTGCCTGGACCTCGGGATCAGACAGGGGTTTTGGTACCGCCGCGGGTTAAGTAAAGTTGCGCCGTTTAATGAAAGAGAGAGAGAGAGAGAGATTGAGATTGAGTTTCAAGGATTCTGTGCATCCATATCTGGGCCTTCGCGGCCTTAGCACTTCAACACTGTCCGCATTCCCCCAGTCACACCGAATGCTCTCCGCCTGGCCTTCCGGATGAGGGCCGCGAGGCGCCGTCGGCCGCGGAGTCCAGGAGACGATCTCGGGCCTGACGGTGACAAATTCGGTAGTGGAGTGAAACCCTCCGCAGGCATCGTCTGGGATGGATCCCCCCCTGGCCTCGCGCACCGCTTTCAGCAGCTGGCCAGGCTCCGACGTGGCAGAGGGTCCATCTGTGGGCTCCAAGGCTGCCCGTACCTGGCCCCCATCCAAACCCAAAAAACTCCTATAAGATGCCCCAAAAATCCCAAGTAAAAAAAGAAAACACCTTCTAAACAACAAGGACAAGGGGCCCTCGGCAGCTCCGTCGCCAGGCGCTGGAGGAGGCTGCTGGGCAAGGTCGCCAGGTGGGCTGCCTCAGGGCAAGCGACATGAATGTGAATGAGAGGCGTCCTTTGCATGATGTTTCCCTAAGCCTCCCGCGGGAGGACCTCCTGAAAGAGACCAAAGACTTCAAGTTTGTTTGCTAGCCTAGCCACATTGCCTGAACATGCCTGAAGCTTATTCAGATTCAGTTAATTCCAGCGGCATTGGGTGGGGAGGGGGGGGCGACGTGACGATGTCCGCACACAAAGATTCTGTCTCATCATGTTCACCCTATGCCTAGCAATCAACACAATAGCGGGGGAGATGATGAACCAGAACAAAACGCAGTTCGAATCCCAGATGCCTGGGCCAAGCGAGCCGGTGGCAAGAGTTGCAGCAAGCGCGCCTGCACAAGGCAACTAGCAATCCGCAGTCTGCATGTGCTAGTCCGCAGGCGAGATTGCTTTGAGAGAGCGAGAGAGAGAACAAAACAAATTGGCAACTACAAAGCCAGTGAGGGTGTCCCGTCCTCTGCACCCGACTCCAGCTGAGGGCCGGCCGCGCCGCGCGCCAGAAGGATGGCGCTCCAGAGCACTTCCTCCAGCAAGGCCGCCAGCTCGTCCAGCTCTTCCTCATCCCTCTCTGCAGGCTGCGTCTGGGATGTTGGGCCTGAATCTGGCAGAGGGCCCGAAGAAACAGGGGATGGCACGGATGGTGCCGGATCAAGGCCCGGCCCCTCTTGTTTGGGCTCGGGTGGTCCTGGTGGTGGTCCTGGTGGTCGTCCATGTCTGCCGGGCCGCTTGGCATCATGCACCTGCAGGGGAAACATGATGACTGTTGTGACAGTACGTATATAATATATGCCAAGAGTTTAAGGGCCAGTTGCTACGAGCGCCGAGAGAATATGAGAGACTTAGAAAAATGAGGAGAACACAATACAGCTCAGGACTCAGAATGCCCGGAGAAGCTGAGTCACTCGAGGCTGCCGCGGCTCCCGCGAGGTGAGCGAGGTGGGCGAGGACTCGGTGGGCTCAAAGGTCTCCGAAGGCTGGCCGGGAGGCTTGGCGTCCTTCAGCATCTTGCTGTAAAGCCGATCGATGTCGGCAAGCAAATCTTCGCCGTCGGAGCGCCGGTGCTGGGAGCTAGGCACAGTTCCGAAGTCCGGAGTGTCCTCCGTCTCCGTGCCCTCTGGGAAACTCCCCGGCGCCGGGCTGCCCGAAGCGTCCTCTGGGCTTTCCGGGTCTGTGTGGAGTTCGTGGCTCCTGGCCCCCATCAGCTGGGAGTAAAGGGCATCGATGTTGTTCAGCATGGCCTCGCTCTCCTCGGATACGTCACCTGCTAGAAGGCTGGTAAGCCTCGCCATCTCCTCAGCGCTCAAATCCTCAGGGTCCTCCTCCTCTCCGCCCCATCGGCTTGGACCTGCGGCAGCTGCAGAGGGGCGCTTGCCCTCAGCAACCTCCTTGGACTCCTTGGGCTCCTTGGGCTCCTTGGACTCCTTGGACTCCTTGGCCCTTGGCTCCCGACCCTCCACCAGGTGCTTGGGAACGACGGGAACGGCATACGGAGCACATCGGCCTCGCTGGGACACGGCGCCCTGAGAGCGTGCACGAGGACGCCTCCCTTGGCCCCCTTGGCCCCCTTGGCCCTGGCCTTGTTTGCGCCGCGTCTGCTCCTTGGCCTCCTCGTCGATGCGCTCCAAGCGCGCGGGGCACTGCGCCAGCAGCGAGGGGATGATCTTCACGGGCGGCTCGGGCGACTCGGCTTGGCGGGCTTCTTCGGCTTGGGCCTCTTCTTCCTCCAGGTCAGCCGGGTCCTCGTGGCGCTCACGGCGATCTTCGTGGTGATGCTCCGGAGGTGTGGCTTCCACCTTGGGCTTGCGAGGCTGCGCCAGCCTCTTGCAAGCCTCCCTCTGTGAGCGAGGGGATCGGGGTCTTGGGATCTCGGGCTGCCATTCGGGCTCCTTGGGCTCTTTCACCTGACGTGGTTTTGCCAACTCCTCGAGGCGCTCGCGCTGCTCTTTGCCCGAGCGCCGGTGCTCGGCGCTCCGGCCTAAACCTGGAGGAAACTTCGCGGGGCCCAGGAGCCTCTCCAGCCAAGCGCCAGTGCTCTCCTCGTGCTCAGAAGGTTCAGTCCCAAGCACAACCTCCGGCTCCTCGTTCGGTTCCTCCTTCGGCTGCTCCTCTTCTGCCTGCTCCTCCTGCTCCTCCTTCGGCTCGTCCCTGCTCTCAGCCTCAGGCGACTGCAGGACTCCTTCTGGCCGACACTGCTCCTCCGAACAGTCTTCGGGCACTTTTGGCTGCACCTCGTCGAGCTCACCCTCCAGCTCACATGGCGAAGCAGAAAGAATGAGTTCACTCTGCGGGAATTCGCTTGGACTGCTCTGGGCTTCGGCAGCCCCTGCTGTCTCACAGAAGCCTTCGCAGAAGCCGTCGTGGCGGTCAGAGGTGACGGCGTCCCCGACAACGTCGCAGAGCTCGAGGGCCGCACTCTCGCGAGCCTCGCGAGCCCCGCAGCTTCTGCGGATCTCTGCAGAGCTCGGCCGAGATCGGAAGCGGCCGGAGAAAGGGCCCTCTTTGGGCGACTCGGCGGAGCCCGCGGAGCCTGCGGAGCCCGTGGAGCCTGAGCTTGAGATGGCCAGGGCACCCGCGTGCGCGAGCGTGCGGCTTCGGTCCTTGGCCTTCGCAGGTCTTTCAGACCTTTCAGGCCTTTCGGGCCTTTCCCTCTCGGGCCTTTCCCTCTCGGGCCTTTCCCTCTCGGGCCTCTCAGCTTTGTCATTTCTCTCCCGAGGTCTCTCCGACGGGCTTGAGAAGCTGGGCCAAGTGATCCCGTTCTTCAGGAGTCGCCTCTGCGAAGCTCACATGCGCAAAACTCACACAAACTCACACCCAAATTCACCCCACAGTCTAATCAAGCGCGCAGCATCGCAGCGTGCATCGGTAAGAACAAGGAGAATTAAGAGACAGAGGGAAACTGGATGATTGGCACCCGTGCGCCTGCCGGCTTCCACCATCGCTTCATCTAGCTCAGGTGCCAGCTCTTCAACCCGAGGCTTTACCAAGCGGTCGAGGTAGGCACGTTGCTCGGCAGCCGTCCGACGCGGCTTTGTAGCCTGACACCCATCCGCACACCCTATAGCGCACTGTCGCGCGCACTGTAGCTCAGGGAAACCCTGAGGCGGCGGCATCCGTCTTGACCTCCGGTATAGGCACAGGCCTGGCACGGGCAGTCTGCCGAAGCTAGGGTAATGGAACAAGGTCAATCCGGAACCTGGGAAGCCCACTTTTCACCGGTTGCGACAAGTACTTCAATACTTGCAAGCAGGTTTTGGTCGAAACCTCTCAGACTCTCGCAAGACTTGGCCATTCCCTGCACCTGGATAACTTCAGACAGCTCATTTCACAGATATGTGACAACGTCAGCACTAGGGCCGCTAGGGACGATCTACACTTCTACAGTCCACGGGTGGAGAACAGCGAAGCCACAATAATCCCCACAAACGGTTGGCAAAAGGAAGCACCTGTCGTGTGCAAGCCAGTAGCAAATGGAGCACGAAGCAACGCAAATCAGAGGGCACACTGCAGGTAAGGAACCCCCCTTGACACAAACCTTGTCATATGCAACGGCGCTGCTGCACACTGCATAGACAACAAAAACTCCAGGCTTGGTGATCCCACTTTGCTGTGCACACGTGCCACCCCGCGGTTGTCTCCCTCGAGGTGTTGATGACCTAAACAACTCAACCAAACCCAAACATACAGCACCCTCAGCACCCTCAGGACCCCCCCCATTTCGGAAGCCTCCTTGGCACCTTGTAGAGCCGGCTGACGAGGAGCTCAGCATCCTGAAGTCCACTTCAGGCCACTTGGCTGGTGCAAGGTCAGGGATGGGTACAATGAGTTCAGGTTCAGGGCTTGCTTTTTGCTTTTTGCTGCTTTGGTAAGTTGCACTCCAATGGTGTCCCAGCAGAAGCTCGATGCAATGTGACGCTAGCCCAAGATAAATCCTGAGCGCTTCGCCGCCACACTGAAAATCACACGTACTTACACACTTTCACTTCTACACTTGCACTTGCACTTACACTTGCACTTACACTTACACACACAGACACAGACACAGACGGACACACAGCCCGCATCAAGATCAAGCACCATCAACATGCGTCCGACCAGTGGCCTCCGGCTTGAGTCGAGGCCGGCCCACGGACGGGTAGCCCTCGTCTTCAGGCTCCTGGAGTCTGCAAACACCACACTTAGCACTTACCTAAACTGACACTGGTTGCTAAACCTCTTTAAACGCCTAAACTCAGCTTCCCTCGGCGCTCCCCGCAACATCGGTCCTGCCGAGCTTTTGGAGGCTTTCGAGGTGCAGACAAGGCGGCGACCACCTCCTGGATTGTTGAGGCCGATTTGGGGCAGGACTTTCTTTGTGTACCTAGTGAGCTTAGTGCAGCGTCAGTTGCTTTCGGGCTTCAGAGTGCTGGGCGTAGGGGGGGCATGGGTCCAGCTTCCAGTCTTTGTGCAAAGGAATGATGATGATATGCTGCTAACCTCCCAACCACCAAAACAGGTGGAGGGCAACACGTCAAAATGCGCCTCTGGCTTTCGAGCGCGCTGCTCGACCACCTGCACCATGAACTCGCCTCAGTGCGTTCAGTGCGTGCTCCCTTCAGCTGTGCCTGAAGACTCGAGCTGTTCAGAGAAGTTCAGGAAGTTCCACTTTTATCAAGACGCAAAGTTGCTATAAAGTTGATGGGTTTGGGGAAGCACCCAAGTCATGGCGTCGAGGCCCAGACCATCCTCATCTCGCCGCGGCACATGGCCGAGTTCCACGAGCATCCTTGGCGCTTCGAAGATGGTTTTCCCCACAAAGAGATGCGGGGCGATGCGCGACGGTTCACTTTTGGCCATGGGCTGCACTGCTGATGTGCAACGAATTCATGCCCCAGACACATCGTGATCGCGAAGTATTCGCGAGCTCTACGTCGAAAACAGCTAAGTTCTAAGCCACCAAAGTGGCATCCTCTCGGTGTGCGCTGTATGTCACCATATGTCATCGATCACCATCCTCGAAACTTTCGCCGTTTCTCCGTTTCTCTGTCCGTGTAGCGTCGTAGCGTGTCGTCGCCAACTCTGCATTCTCGCATGCAGCACTGTTCGTGACTGTTCGAGGTTCGAAGCTCCCGTTGAGGGCGGCGCAGAACAAGCCTCCACTGCTGGTGAGGGCGGCACAAAATTGCAATTACTCTCCTTTGATCTGGTAGCGGATGTTGTAAAGCACCCATATGGATGTGACTTCGAGTTTCAATGACTCTACGCATCTCTACGCATCTCTAGGATTAGGATGTGCTCCCGCCAACATTCCCAGCAAGGCTCTTGAACAGAACAGGCTGAGTCTTGATGCCCACCTGGACATACCGGACCTTCGCGAGACTTGACACACATACTCACAGTTGCTCAACATGTCCGCTGACCATAATAACTTGACCCGCCTCGGCATCCTCATCCGAACGCACCTCACATCCGAGCTGCTTCAGCATCCTCGCAACAAGATGCCACTGCAGGACCACCACTGACCACTTCTCTACCACTCAGCATCGGCCTGAAGGCGACCTTCTTGCTGAGGGTGGCATCCTTGCCACCACCACTCCTTCAGCGCTTCTGAACCCTCCGAGAGACACGACTGAGGAGTGAGGATACACTTTGGCAAGACAGCCTTGCAGCGGATGTCGCTGTGGGCAAAGGCACCGGTGCCTGCAGATCGGCAGATTTTTCCGGGGTTGCAGGGCGTGGTGTGCGATGGGCTTGCAGAGGCGCTGAGAGCAATCTACGCTGAGGGAGCTTCACCTTGAGGCGGGCCCCGGTCTCGGGCGCAAGGGGAACACCAGGCACGCCGACGCCCAGAAAGGCACTCCTCTGGAAGCAGAGGTCTGTGCAGTGCTGCATGACGCACATGATGTACGTGACTTTTGCGTGACTTACTTACTCTGTGCAGCTAGAACGTGCTATAGAAGTAGAAGAGTATCTGTCGAGACTGGATTGCTTTAGGAGCGGAGACTGGGCCAAGGCTCAGGGATCCAAAGTCATTAGCCGGGCCAACATCTTCCAAAGCGACCATGCCTGCAGGGAAATGCTGGAAGACAGATGCAGACTGTACCCACATGCCGCATGCATGCATAAGTACATGTGCTGCCATGCGTATCAGTGTATCAAGTCTGACTGGAGGCGCCGGCCCCTCAGCTGCGCCGGTGAAGCAACTACATGAAGGCAGCGCCCGTTGAACTAAACGGCACTACAAAGACCATACACCAAGCCCGACTTCATGGCTTCACTGCTCGAGAATTGCTGGATTTTGATGCATGATGGAGCTGCGAATCTGGAATTGTGACCCTGTTCACTGTCTTGAGCAGCACAGCCACGCATCGTGAAAGCAGCCATTCATACCGGTCACAGACGCTTGGATTCATCCGCCAATTACGTGATGGCATCCCGCTCCTTTTACAACTTCGACAGCGACATGCTTTCAACTTTCAACGTCAGGCAGCGGGCGAGCCACTGAGTTGAGACCCATCATCACCGTGATCTGAAGTCAGTCCTCGCTCGACTTGGACTGCCACTCCGGCTCATCGCTCAGATTGACGCGGTGGGGCGCTCTTCTCGGGCCCTCGTGTTTACGGCATGCCAGCAGCAAGGCAGACATCGCAGTCGCACCAAGGGTTGTAGAGGGAGTCGGAACGTCCCGAATCAGCACACGTTGACAATGCCAAATTGATCACGGTGAGCCGCGCAACATCCATTTGGCCGCATGCTTCATCTTCCGTCATCGCTGTGTGCAGTGGCCTGTATCTGAGCGGCTACCAAAGAGCTATCCGACCAAGACTTGTCCAAATGTAGAAGCCAACATGCCTCAGCTCGCAAGAAATCTGCCATGCCAGGCCACCCCTTCCTACAAAGGATACCATATGGGAACTTGCATTCTGGCAGCCAAGAAACTCCGCGCAGAGAGTTTAACAGCCCTGCTTCGTGCGTAAGCAAGTCTCCGTAAGCCAAATCTGCATCCAGGCCTGCAAAAACATCGTTGGCGAGGACGGCCTCAGCGATGTTGGGGATGAGATCACGCAAGTGCCAAATCAAAGCCTCCGACAGCCAGGTCCATTGATCTCACAAACATCCACAAGCCTACAAGCCTTTCCCCCTGCAATGCTGTCGCCTCGCGATCTGAATTATGAGAGCACGTTCGGCGGAATTCTACGATGTCTTTTCCCTGACAACATCCACGGGCCAGATGTGCCGCATCGCAAGCTGCAACCAAAAAACGCAACCATACTGTAAACCCTAACCTTATATATGCTAGACAGCGCTGTCAAGGGAACGCCAAGCGTCACATAAGAAGCTAGACAACAGATTCTAACAAGTGAAAGGGAACAAACAAGATCCGGCATCCAAGCGGCTGCAGGGGCGACGGGCGACTTTAAAGCTTTCCATGTTCCTCAATTGCTGAGCCCTGGCCAGATGGCGCTGTTGCAGTGGAACAAAGGACGAGGCAACAAATTTGCGAACTGAGCAGCCGCGTGCTGTGACTCGTCACTGTTCAAGCCGGCTGGTGCCTGATGGCTACATGTGAAAACGGCCTAACAAAGACACGAATTAAGGTAGCAGAGTCTCTTCATCGCGCTCATGTTTCATCTATTTCACTTCGTAACTTTATCAACGATGGAAAGGAAAAGAATAAAAGAAGTACAAAATACGAAAACTACATTGATAATGATAATGTTCCCTGTAGCATACTTTCTGCTAATTGTGCACATGTTATTCATATTCTGGTCCTTTCTAATGCTTTTACTGCCGGCATATTTACTGAGAAAATTTGTGACGCCCGAGATCAATAGAACCTGTGTGTTCACTTCGCTCATCATTCATTTGCAACATTCGCTCACGCATTTTTTCCGCCAACGATAAAGTTGGAATATGAAATGCGCGAGAGTGAGTGAATACCATTTATATTGCCCGGAGTTGTGGTCGTACAGGCTAGTTCCTTTCACCACATGGTTTAGTTCACGGTTATTCATAGCGCTTCTGGCGTGCGAATGATAAAGAGAAAAAAACCAAAATTAAGCAAGATTGCCAATGAAAAGATACTAGAAGTAAAGGGGTAACGAAAATAAAAAGATGAAGTAGACAAAATACTATAACAAGTGAATTAGAGAAGTAATCCAGAAAACTTTATATTATTAAAAGGGCCGAACATAGAATACAAAAGGCCTTCATGACAAATAGAAGCTAATGCACAAAGAAAAAGGCAAAAAGAAACAACAGTGCGCACAAAGAAACCTCAATTAACAAAGTCTTTGGGGCATTAAAAATATAAGAAGAGAGCCCCATAAATTCCTAGTAAAACTATAAGGAAGAATATTTCCATAATGAATAGAGAACCTAATGTTCAAAGATGTAGTGATTACATTCTTACGAGTGAAGAAAACTCACTACTTTTATCAATGTTCTTTGGAGTGAAGAATAAAACAGAGATAATCTGTACGACATCCATTAGTAGAACAATAAGAATTCCAATAATCTTATACGTTTAGAAATTCACAGATTTATAGACTAATGCATGAAATTGCAAGAAATCCCAATAAAACGCGCTTCATCTTCGGTCAATGCACGGGAGGCTGGGGGTGGAGGCGGGAGGCAGGTGGTGCTGCAAAATCACGTGAGCTCGGGACACAAACTCGTTCTCTTTGATTCTTCTTTATTAGCGTCATTGGGTCCACGTGTGCACCGCGCGCGCACTGGGCTGCCCAAGGTTCAGGCTCAAGACGCCTGGGCCTTTGCTGCTGCTTTGGCTTTCGCCGCTGCAGCGCCCTTGGCCTTACGGCCAAGCTGCGATGCATAAGGACAGTTGCAGGTGGGTAGTCTGCTCACAACGCCACAACGCCACAACGCCTCCAAGCATTCAGGCGCTTGCATACCTGCACAAGCCCCCGCACGCTTTCCAAACTAGACTGCGCGCAGCGGGCACCTCTCCGGCTCTTATCGCCACATGCGGATTCTTGTCCGGATGCCATTGCCGTACGAAGGCTTTCCAAAGCTGGAGCCGGGTCTCCACATCCTGAGCAGCATCTGCGTCGTAGAAATAATTGGACTACCTGTCTCTTGGAGATATCTCACCCAAACTTGCGCATACGCCCGCGGCCACACATTTGAAGTCTCCAGAAGTAGGACTCTAACTGATGCAAAAGCAAAACAATGCATGTCACCGCCACGACGATCAACATCACGAAACCTAGCGAGGAACACAGCGGAAGCAAGTGATGAATTCAGGACCTCTTCGCTCGATTGGGATTATGCCGCGGCTGAAGGGGGCAAAGGATCCATCCTGGCACACAAAGTCCCATCCTTGACTGACGGGAGGGGATAACCCAAGATCAACGCGGAAATCGGGGGCAAAAACCATGCTGCCATCGATGCTGTAGCAAAAACTGCCGCGCGTCCTACCGGGCGCTGTTCAGCAAACGAAGGCTCATCGCAAGCCAAAGCAATGCCAAAGATCGGCGAAGCAAGGGCACTGGTGTAGTCTTGGCAGTTGCGATAAAGAACGTTGTACCCACGCTTGGGGTAATCAGCCATCCGCACCAGTGTCTCGACCTCATCGAGAGACAGCGGGCAAGCCCCAATGACGACAGATTCCCAGCATCCGGCTCAGTCAGCCCTATGAAACACGATTGGGCAATGCTCGCACGATCGCAAGATCGGCACCTTAGCAGCCTTAGCACACCTCGACTTTTTGGGTTTTCAATGCCATACGCTTTCGGGGTTTTTTCATTTCTAAACACTTTCGGGACTTTCGACTTTCTACTTTTCGAAAACACTCAACTTTTCGCAAAAATGCTGACTTTTCGATTCTCATTCTTCCCCGGGAAGCTTCTCCCTGCGCGCCCAAACACTTCGGGACGCTTGTCCGAGAAGTCGACGTCTTGCCCCCCCCCCCCCCCCCAACTTCTGCTTTTCCTCAATCGCATCCTCGATTTCTCCTTTGTCATCCTCTTTTGCGCATTATTCACGACATGGCTTCCACACTCTCTCACTGCCTCTTCCAGCACGCCGGGTCGTCCCACATATTTGTTGGCGTTGCAATACTTCTTCACATAAATCCTTCCTCGCTCCCAATTTTCGCCATTTGTTCATGTCAGCGCGTGCTACTGTGGATGGACAAAACCTTGCACCACTTTTCAGAAACGTCTTTTTATGTTCTGCGTGCCCCGGGGAAAATTTTTTTACTTCGAACATCCCCACCTTAGCACTCCAGGGTCTCTGGGGTTGGGCACTCCAGGGAGTCTCTTGGGCACTCCAGGGCACTGCAGGGAATCTCTAGGGTTGGGCACTCCAGGGAAACTCGGGCTGGGCATGGGGAGACTCTGGAGTGTTGACCATCTGGGTTGGGCACTCCAGGGAGTCTCTGGCGTTGGGCACTCCAAGGAAACTCTGCAGGGGGCAGTTGTAAGACTTTTTTCCAGGAGCTCTGGGCTGGGCACTCCAGGAGTCTCTGGGGTCTGGCACTGCAGGGAGACTGTGGGGTTGTGTGCTCTGAGATTGGCACTCCAGGAGTTTCTGGGTTGAGCACTCCAGGGAGTCTTTGGGGCTGGTCACTCGAGGGAGTTTTTGGGGTTGAGCACTCCAGGGAATCTCTAGAGCGGGCAAGAAGAAGAGTTCGAGTCCAAAATCTAACAACCCCACACCGAAGGTGGGGAAAAATTGGCTGTGAAAAGCTAAAGGCCGGAGTTGCTCCAATGGCTTGCACCGCTCGTAGTCCTAGCCGCCACTGTTAAGCAGTTGGTGCGGGGTTTGATGCCGCAATCGTTTGAAATACGCATGTACAGGCGGTGCAACATTTTGGCCATCCACCGAAGGGCTGATAGTGCGTACCACCCTTTTCTAGGGTGCCGGGACTCGGGACACACGACACAGCAAGTCATTTCATCTACAATCAACGCTACAGTACTGTCAACACTGCCAAAATGCTGGAAAATCTAGCATTTTACTGTTCTGGACATTACGAAGCGAAAAACACTGTAAACGCAGCATGCATGCAACGACTCGACGACCTTTCACATCCCTGGCGGACGCAATAACCCAATCAAACTGCTCCCCGTAGCGATTATTGTACAATCCTTGGTTGTCCTGCCCAATCTTCATATGAGAGGGACCTTTATGTACTATATGGCTGCTCTTTTTCCTTTCTATATATATATATAATGGATTATTTTGTTTCCTTGATTCTGATGTCCCCAAAACATGTAAAGAACAAAAGAGTTTAATTCGATCTATCTTTCTTTCATTCTTCTGTTGTTCTTTTATGTTTTTATTATTTGATTCTCCACCCCCTGGCAGAATAAAAATGAAAAGAGTAAACGAATAAAATAATTCAAGTCTTTTATTCTGTTACTGATTTTGGGCCCCCAGATGAATAAAGAAATAAAAGAAGTGAATTATTAAATATTGTATTCTTTCATTCTTTGGGGGCCCTAGAACAACAGAATATAAGAATTGAACTCATTTTCCTGTTGATTGTTTTACTCGTTTTGTCTTTTTCTTTCATGTGTTATTCCTTTCTTCTCTTATTCCTTTATCTCCACCCCCCACCCCTCCCCCCACCAGAACAAAAGATTTCAATAAGAATAGAAAGAAGAAATAATAAAGAATTCAGTTCTTCCGTTCTTTCTATTCTTTTGTTTTGTGGAGCGGGGGGAGAATGTCAAGAATAGAGGAATAACAGAAGAATGAATGAAAAAAACAACAAAAGAGGATACATTTTGGCAGTACAGCCTCGCAGCGGACGTCGCTGTGGGCAAAGGCACCGGTGCCTGCAGATCGGCAGATTTTTCTGGGGTTGCAGGGCGTGGTGTGCGATGGCTTCACCTTGAGGCGGGCTCCGGTCTCGGGCGCAAGGGGAACACCACGCACGCCGACTCCCAGAAAGGCTCTCCTCTGGAAGCAGAAGTCTGAGTACACATGATGTGTGTGACTTTTGCGTGACTTACATGACTGGCCTGCTCTGTGCTGCTTGGGTGCTGCTAGAATCTGCGAAAAGAGTATATATCGAGACTGCTTGGCTTTAGGAGCCGAGAATGGGCCAAGGCTCGAAGATCCAAAGTCATTAGCCGGGCCAACATCTTCCAAAGCGACCATGCCTGGCAGGGAAATGGCCCACAAATACAGTATCCACATGACATGCAGCATGCATAATGCCCCATACACATTGTGTAGCAGTGTATGATTCGCAAGTCCGACTGGAGGCACCGGCCACACGCGACTGCGCGGGTGAAGCAACTACATGAAGGCATCGCCCATTGTGCAAGGCAGCACTGCAAAGACTATACACCCAGCCCAACTTCGTGACTTCACTGTTCGACTACTGCTGGATGTTGACTCATGAAGGATCTGCAAATGTGGACTTGTGGCCATGCTCCTGTCTTGAAATCAACCATGCATACCGGTCACGGGCGCTTGGAATCTCTTCTGCATGCAGCGGGCGAGCTGCTGAGTAGCGACCTGTCAGCGCCCCACCTCCGGCCAAGCATGTGCGCACAACATCGTCACAGGATCAACAAGTCTTTCCACGCGCTGGCGGTCCGCTTCCTTGATCTCGTCTGCAACACTTCGGAAGAGCTGCAACACCGGCCTCCGAGCCTCCTGAACTTGAGGTGTCTACCAGGAGCAGCTCCTCAAGCGATCCATCCCCTTGCTGGGCTCTCTCCATTCAACTGCTCAATCCGAACGTCAACCTGCGTTGGGACCACGAGGAAGCGCACGCCCGTCTGCCTGAACTCCTGAACTTCTGCAGCCACTGGACATCCCGTTCATCCCCCACAAACAGAAAACCAAACTTCCACAGATACCCACTCACATGCACGAAGCAGAGGGAGAAAGGCGCGAGGAAAACTTCACGATGATGTGATTCGTCTCGCTCACATTCCGGCCGGGCCGCCTTGTACGGGCCACGCCACCATGCCCGAGCCGCTCCGCGAAGCTTCGCAGCCAGCCCTTGAGAGGCCGCTTTCCAGTCCACCGCCGCATGTGGCCTCTCATCGTAGAAGCTCCAAAATCCACAAAGCCCCAGATGATTTGGGGGTCAGCATCTCAAGTCAGTCCTCGCTGCTCGACCTGGACCACCACTCCGGCTCATCGCTCAGATTGATGCGGCGGGGCCTTATACTTATTTTCGGGCACCCTTGTTTCTGGCATGCCAGCAGAAAGGCCGACATCGCACCAAAGGGCACATAGAGGAATAGGAGGAGGTAGTACACAGGCACCCAAGACCTTAGAGAGGCGGATTCCTCCTTGGGGTTGACCAGGGACAGCAAAGGGCTTGCCGACGTGAGATTCCCGGGATATTGCGCTGCCGCATCTTGCAGCGCCTGGTGGAAGGTGTCTTTGCTTTCCTCGTTGATCAGAGGCATCAGCATCACGAGATCTGTTGCGAACCCGCAAAGGCCCTGTCCATGTCGCCGCCCACAGTCTGGGACTGCAGGAGCCGCAGGCGTTGCCGAGGAATCGGCTGTAATGGCCCAAGCGCAGCCGCGGGGCTTGCAGGCATCGGAGAACTCAAAGTCAAGGTAAGAAGAGTCCACGTCACACTGAAAGACTGGCTGCAGGACGAAGTGGCAACTGTACCACGTGGGTGGTCTGCCCTTGTTAACCTCTGAATAGCACCGCGCGATGTTGATGAGTAATGGTTTGGGCATTCGACCCTGTTGCGTCAGAGCGCCATCCTTAAAGTAAATGCTTCCCTTGAAGTCCCCCCACTCTTCGCTGCACATGCCGACGCCGCGCATCGGCTCGAGGGCGTCTATCTCCCAAGAACGCTGCACGGGAGAGTTGAGGCCGAGGGCAAGGAACAGCACCATGGCGCAAATGAAGAAGCAGGGACAGACGCAGCACATGCCAGCGGGGTTGTCGCACAAAGCCATGAAGATGAAGCCCCAGGTCAACATGTTGAAGCCAAGCCCCCCAAAGAAGAAGGCCGCGATGGCAGGGATCAAGATCAAGAGTCCCAGGAGATGCGTGGAGATGGAGATGGCCTTCCAGTAGGTCAGCAGCAGAGCCAGACCAGCATAAGGAATCAAGCAGAGCAGACTCAGCTGGGAGGCGGCGGCTGCATCAGTGTCCAAATCCATGGGGAAGCTCAAGCTTGCTTCCGGTAGCTCTAATGCACTTCAATGCAATTGTCAAAGTCAACTAAACAACGCTTCAACAACCTCGAAGGCTTTTGGGGACTTAACGGGCTCTGTAGATTGAAGCATGCAGCTCTTATCACGACTTGACAGCTGTAGGGCGGAAGCCCAAGCCACGGCAGCTGCACAATCAATGCTGCAATTGCCATGGTAAGCATGGTGCTGCTGTGACAAAGCAGGGCAAACTGGCAAACCCGGAAGTTTTCAAATCCACGTCACGTTGCGGAGAATGGTTGGAAACTCCTCCGGATGATCCACGAGGGCTTGGGGAACGTCTGCCCTTCGAAGCTTGGAAGGATGGATTCGTTCATCGTAGAGGTTTGGGTGGGGCAGAAAGGAATCCTCCAACCACGCGGCCAATGCGGACTCATTGGAGTATCCTTTAGCCCAGTGTGGGAAGCCTTCCACGTGGATGAACATCTTGTGCGCCAATGCAGCAGGGCCGTTGAGCATCCATCCAACATGCCAGCCAGTCATGCTCTCCCTTGCACTCAGCAAGTTCGGTCGACCCCAGATCGATTGCGCCAAGGACGTGGCGGATGTGGCTTGGCCTTCACTGAAGAACGATGCAGTTGTTGGCAAGATCCAATCACCGTTGGTCCACGCGAGGCTGTAATAGAAGTTCGCCATGCGGATGCGTGCATTCCAGGAACCCGTCGCCGGCTCGCAACTCTTCAGCGCTTGCAACGCTTCGCGGCTGACGATCTCGTCCAAGTCTCCTTCTAAGAGGATGTCCGTTGGAAGGTAGTCCCTGTAGTCGTGCATCTGAGCTCGCATGGCTTGCCTTCTCAAGGGATCTCACCAAAGTAAAACGAACATCCCACACAGCAGTCGGCAAACATGAGTTTCGGCACAATGCTTGGTAGCTACCGTAGATGTCTCTCGGATTGTATATATTTGTGTACTTCTGCATCCTTAATTTCCCACCTGGACCCCATGCCCTCTGGACAGTCTCATTATCAACATGAGGGACATGAAAGAAAAGGATACTTCCTGAGTGCAAATTGTTGGCAAATGGAGTTTGTACGCACGGCCACTGTCACGCTGTTTCTGCTGTGCGCTTGACGTGTGTTCGCGTGACATGATGAGCCGAATGCACCCTCCGCCCTCCGCCCTCCCCACCGGGAGTCCTGACAGCACCACAAACCTCCTGAAACCCTCCTCCCGCCGGAACTCATAGCGACATGTATGACTTTGGCTTTCATTCGTCTACGATGCGCACGCTAACACCCCAAGTTGGGCTGGCCCGGCTGTAGAGGCGGCGCGCGCAGCGTGTACAATCACTGCCTGTGAGCGCAGTTTTGCGGGTCATTTCGAAAGCGCGTAAGACCACAGATGCACAACGCATGGGCGGATAAGAAATCGCCCCATCTAACGGACAAAAACGGGGATGGAGAGATGTTGGCTGTCAACCCCAAACACATAGACTCGCGCAATGTGTGCCTCTTGTGTTAGCACTGCTTTACATCCCTTGACTTTTCGAATTCTTCCACATTTTTATGGGCGTGGCTCTGTTGTTTCATGCTTGTTCATAACCTCCAGCCTCTGCACCTCTTGCAGCGCGTAACCCTTCACGCCCTCGGGAATCTTGGCCTTGTGATACGTGATCTTGTCTTTCCACCTGTCCAGCTTACCCCCACTGAGCACGGTATCAAACTCATATGGCTTCTTTGTTCCAGTGAAATCACGATCACCCTCGACGATGTGAAACTCGGAGACCTCTTCACCCATCTCGTAAAACCGAAGGCGCAACTCCTCCAGCTCAGAGGCGCTGCCAAACGCGAAGGTGTCGATCAGTCTTGCGGGTGATGCCCTCGGATGCAGCTCAATGTTGGTCTTGGATCGCCCCTGTTGAAGCAAGAAGCCACCGCAGGGAGTATGAGTACGAGTTGACGGCGCCAGGCGCTTGGCATGCGTTCTGCAGAGTTCCAAGAGGACGGCGACATGGGCGACATAGGCGACATGATGACAAAGACACATACTCGAAGTTAGCAAACCCTGGAGCCAAGGCTTCAACGAGACGACTGTAGCCAACTGCCACGCGCATCGGCCACGTTCTCTCATGTGGCTGCTGAGGAGCTGTCACAGCAGACAGTTGAAGCAGCCGCAAGGGCCGCAAGGATACTCAGAAAGTGAGTACGCTGGAAAGAGGTTACACGTTGCATCCTGCAGTGTCCAAGGCTCAGGGTCCCGAAAATACAGTTCAACTGTCGGGGAAGTGGTTGACTATCAGGTTCTCGGAGTGGTGCTGGGCTATGGGCTATTCGGTGTTGAGGTGTTCCTCTTCAAGCAGAAATCTAAGGGCGAGAACACCCCAACCAGAAAGTTTCTGTACTCTAGCCCCTGCTTGGGACCCCCTGCAGAACCCTAAACCCATTAAAAACTCACAGCTGCGCACAGCTCACACAACCCGAAGCAAAGCTGAGACTCTTTCGGTGCCTTTGGGGGAGGATGGGGAGGGGGGTCAAAATAAACCCTGAAGCAACCTCACGGCAGCCTCACGACATTGTTGCACCTAAAGTGATCCTAAAGTGTGTGGTATCCTGGTCCCTGCCGTGAGGCCGGGCCAGCGTTTCGTTTTGCCTGACAGCTCCATTTCAGTCAGTTGCCTCGCGGCGTGAAACTTGAAACGCTGTTCCGGCATCCGCAAGCGAAACCAAAAGCACAACCACTTATAGGCACGCGGCATGAAAAGCCGGTTGCCAGTGTTCACCATGTTCAAACGTAGACTGAGGCCGGCTACTGTTCGGGAAGCTCAGAGCCATCTCCGAAGGCTCGAGCATCCTTTGGGCCCCCCTAGGAGGATCTCAGGAAAACCTGCGAGGCGTCTCTTGGGCCCTGCGCTTTGGCCAGCTCCCTCTCCCACGTAACTAATACCAGCTTTGGGCGTGAGAGTCGAGATTGGGAGCCCCGCCTTTGCAATCAAGTTGCAAGAGATGCATAGTTTTTAGATTTCATCCTCTTTCATCCTGTCAGTCGCTCCCCGTCTTGTTTGCAGTTGTCCCCCGCGCTTGGGGTTCAAATGAAAGCGCTGCTGTGGAGACTCACCGGCGATGGCTCAAGCCTCACACGAAGCGCCAAGGTTGCCGGACCCCACATTTCGTCACACTCTAGAAGGGCCACAGAAAACAGAAACAACAAACAGATCCACACGGCCGGCTGGCGGGTCTTATTGACTTGTGAGGAGTGATGGGGCCTATACAGGTGGCTAGCAGTTGTTATTGGCCTAGTGCTTCCTCAGCGGTAATTGCTCCCAGCGGTGGCGCAGAAAAGGCAAAGAAATCAAGTTACGGTAATACGCATAACGGCTCGAGAAGCCAGCTGCAGCAAGCATCTGCACACATCAAGGAGTTGCAATGGGAGTTGCAATGGGAGGTCAAGGGGAGTTGCAATGGTGCAATGCTCCGTTTCTCCATGGGCGGTACGTAGTGGGGTTACCACTTTACAGAGGCCCCGCGGTTGCTGCGTGCAGGTTTTTTGCCATGTTGATGATTTCCCGACCTGGCAACGCTTCGGCACCAACTCAGCCCCGCACGTGCTCTTTGCGCCTCGGATAAGCCCACCTCGTCAAGTGGAAAGGCTCCCAATGGAAAGTAAAACCGGGATCCCCCCATGGGTTGCAATGGATCTCGCTGGGAAATCGATGTATTGGGAAATGAGAGCTGGTACGTTGGCACGTATCTGCAAAGTGACTGCAACGGTCGATGCAAGCAATCTGAGGCTCGCGCGATGGCGATGTCCTTCACCGGGCCCCTTTTAGCCTTCCTCTTTTTGCCATATGCCTCGCGCAAGCCGTGAAAATTGAGAGGGGTGTCTGCCAAGGTGAGGCTGCAAAGTGCGAAAAGAATCTTCAACAATGCAACCCTTGTCGGAAGAACATGGAACAACAAACGCATTTGCATGGGGCACGCGTGCCCAAAATAAATCAACACACTTGCAGGCACGCCGGCACACATCTACTTACGCTGCACACACCGTAATTTTGGCTTGCATGCGGGCGTCTGGGCCCAAGCCTCCTTCACCCGCCGCTGCGTGCAAGCCTTTCAGGAGCACGAGGATGCTAGTCTTCATCTATCTACATCAATGTCTCCACAGGGCCTGGTGTTTTCGCAGCTTTTGAACTTCTGAAGCAGTGTCCATAGTGTCCGCAGTCGTGGTGTTGGCTGGTCAAAACGGGTTCTGGCGGATGGGACTACACTACACTGCATGGGCATGCCGCTGAACGTAAGAGCTCACACGGACAGCGAGCTGACCCTTAACCCGGAAAATCGACAGGCAGGTGTTGGAAAGGAGACACATCAAACCTGGAGCAACGGCTGGCCTGGTGCACTTTGTCCTGCTTGCCCTGCTCGGGGTTGACCTGCATCGAAGATTTGCCAGATCTTGCCAGTGGCCTTTCGTAGGCTTGATTTGACAACCCCGTAATCCTACATAATATGATATCTGAGAGGCTTGGGGCGGGCGGGGGAGGGGGGTGCGGTGTGTGATGTTCTCCCACATGGCTTGACGCCGCGCAAAGCGTCGCTACGTGCTGCACCTCCATGCCCACGAAGGCCCAACGTCTTTCAGTGTCATCGTTTCATTCACACTGAGCACCGTGCCATGTGGTCCAGTGACAAACCTTGCCAGCAGCAACAATCGAAATCGCGTAAAGGTACAAATGCAAGAACAAAAACCGGCAGTGGAGTTTGAGCCAGCTGCTTTTGCAAAGGTCCGTGAGAACACTCTCCAGCAGGTCGAGGTCGTCTAAGCCACCACATACGATACGTGCACCATCGTTTCACGGCACGTGCATCTGAGAATCAAACCAGACGGCACGGTCACCATGCCGCCTAGGGCTGGTGACACCTCCACCTGACAGGCAGGATTTTGTTGGGAATGATCACGCAAGATCGCGAAGCTCTGCTCTCGGGGCCCTGCCAATGGCACGCACAGGCCCAGGCCTCAGGTGACAAAAGTGCATCAGCAGCACATGCCTCTGAACGCCGATTCTTCCAGCTCACCAACTCTCGGCACAATAAGACGCAAACAGCGGCAGATGACCGTCATGTTATCATGGAGAGCGCTCAGCTCGCCTGGCAAAGAATCTCATGTCGTTCCCTCTCCAGAAGTGAGAAAAAAGCGATTGAGGGCTGCACTGCTGGGGACGCTCACCATGGCCTGCTGAACGGTTTGCTTGTGGCTTTCAGCGCCATCTGTCCCACTCAAGCTGCTCTGCGCATGCTGAGAGCAAGACCCGCGAAGGAAATTTTCGAAGCAGGTTGCTCAACAAGGACGGGGTCGATTGACCCAGCTGATTGAACATGAGATGGGCCGACGAGAACTAAATGCAGGAAGGATCTCACGGCTGGGGTCAGGCCAGAAGGCAGTGGGCCTTGTTCACCTCACTCGCTTACTCGCGCTCTCCGTCGAACCCGGACACCTTTAGAAGCTCTGTCCCTGCATCTTTCTCTTCCTCGTCCTCGTTCTCAGCAATTCTAGAATACTTCTGTACATCTGCCTGCCAGCGATGGGGTCAGCACCTCCTATTTCCGGCACACGGGGAAGGAGGCAATGGATGGGATGCAATCATGCGCAGCGGGTGGCTTGTATTTTGCTGAAGGCACTGACCCCCCGGAGGCGACAACTCTGCTACACGGAAACCTTCTGATGTTCAGGTGGCCATGTGGACTTTTGCTCGCACTAGCATCCCAGCCTGTATCTGTATCTAAATGCAGCGACTTGCCCGTCAGGAGGACGCCCTCCCCGGCCTTCTGCGGTTTTGAGCCCACTCAGCCCGCTCCCTCTCCGTCTCCTGCTGCTTGCGCAGGGCCACCGCCTGCTTCCAGGCCTTCTCCACGTCCCAGCTTCCTGTTCTTCCCTACTTGGCACTGCATACGCCAGGCCTTATCTCCAAGGCTCCACCTCACTGCCCGAGCGGCATGCGGGACCTCTGAGAGCGGCTCCATCGGCACCCCCCCGCCGCTTGGAGCCCGAACATTTTGGCCAGCTCCCCCACGCCTCGCCGCCCTCGCCCTCCGCCAGCATCTTGGAGGCGGGCGCCTTCCTCTTGGCGCCTGCGTCGGAAGGTCGTGCATCGACGGCCACATCTTCATTTTCTCGGCCACGCGGCGCTGCTTCGCAGCTGCATCCTGCAAGTGCTCAGGTTTGGGACCGCAGCCGCTGTTGTCCTTGCCGTGATCATTGAAGAGGGCCCTCTCCTCCTCACAGCCTTCCCACGGAGCAGTTGCCAGTCCGAGGAACGGGCTGGCTGGGCCGCAAGGCTTTGCGGGCAGCCGCGTCTTGCCAGAGCTTAGAAATGCTAGGCATTTCTCGGCCCCCTCTGGCAGTCGCGACTCAAACGATGGAGACGAGATGTTGGGCCTCTTGTGACTGATGCATCGCCTCGTGCTGGGACGAATCCATCCGGCCCCTTCGGCTTCCTCCGACTTTACCACGCGCATGTGCTGGGCTTCCTCTGCGCACTCCCGATTCACTCTGATCCTGAGCGAAGCACGGGAAACGGCCAAGCTCTCTAAAAATCTGTAGTGTGCGGAGCACGTGGGTTTAGCCAAAGGGTGCAGCATCGTGACGCATGACACCGTAGAAAGTGGAGATTCGGGATTCTTTCCGAAGTGAAAAGCGGAATCCCCGAGCAAGGGCATGGAAGGATCCCGACTACGCTTCATCCTTGATGACGCTGACCTTGCTATGTTTGGACATCCCGTCTCAGCAAAAACTGTCGATTTCAGTGATTTAAGGATGTCGTGAAGCTAAGCAGCATCTGGATTGTCCACGCGAGGTCCCGTAACAAACTTTTCACCTGCCGGAACTGGCTCTGGCGGTTTGGATTTCTGCGAGGCTTACATCGATTTCCTCAACTGAACTCAGCCACACCGAGCATTGTCTTTGTTCGTTGGAAAGATTGGTAGAAGCTAGCAAACGCAGGTGAGGCACTCTGACACTCCCGTGGAAAAGTAAACGCACCGGCTGGCAGGCAGGGCAGCCGCCTGCTCGACCTCACGCTTCACTTCTTGCTTTGCCTGTACCTCGTTCTTGATCTCCGACGTCACTTCCTCTGAAGAGGGTGCGTCGGACCATCAATGAGCAAGGCGGCCATGGCTTACTTACTTCCGATCTCTGTTCTAAACCCTGTACATATGAGGTTGATCCCTTACATTGAGTCTTGCAGGAGCTCATAAAGATGATGTCGACAGTCGGTGGACATGGTGGACCACCTTGATATAATCGACGATGTCACAATGCTTCAGAAGGAAAAGTTTGAATGCTAGGCTTCGGCCTCAACCTATCAATTCTACGCCAGGCCTAGCGGAAGGTGATCTTGCCATACACTGAAAACCCAGGATCCAGCTACCAGGGGAGCAAGTTGGGTTGCGCTTGAAGCGCCCTCCTCCACCACCTCTTCCTTCACCTCCGTCTTCACTTGCTTGACACCCTCCTGGAGGCCCTCCCCCACCTCTTCCTTCACCTCATCCTTCACTGCCTGCGCGTCCATCCTCAACTCATGCTCGTTTACCTTGTCCGTTTTAACCTTTTGTGCCACCCTCCTTGTCGTCTCCTGAGCCACATTGCGCGCTTCTTTCTTTCCTTCTTCCTTCACCTCTTCTAAGCTCAACTTCTGTTCCATGACACTCGCACCCTCCTTCTGCATCTGGCTCCCCACCTGTGCCAAACTGAGCCCAGCGACAACGGATGGGAAACAGGTGCATCGCAATCGTAATTTATTAACAGTCGCAGACCCCACCTAGAAAAAAACTCTCCAAACATGTCCAATTCCCAAACGTCAGGCATCTTGCTGCCTTCTTATTCACCTCTTGCCGCAACTCCTTCTTGACCTCCACCTTCATTTCCTTCGGCTGTTTCTTTGCATCCTTTGCCAGCTCCTGAACCCGAACGCGACGAAACGCTGGTGCAAGGTGTCAGGCCCTCACCGGACTCGATGCTGAAATCCCAGCTGCACTCGGATTGCCGTACTCCGACGCTTACCACAGCAGTAGTGTGTAAGCCGGCAGATTCATAAAAAACCTGTCTCGATCGGGAAAGCCCTGCCGCGTAAAACCTGATTACAGGTATATAAGCCCACAAGTAAAACCTGATTACATGTATATAAGCCCACAAGCGAAAATGCGGCTCAGGGATCGGTTCAACCCCCACCCCAGATTTCCAACCACACCCTGTCCTGGTCAAGCTCCACCGAACTTCCTGAAAGGTCAAGGCAGAAGAAGGAGGCAAATCGAGGCATGGAAAGGCAAAAACCCCCTGGCACCTGACGGGCGAAGGGGCTCTTTGACCTCACATCTTGGCAGCGCACGGGAAGAAGCTGCAAAATTGTACGGTTCTGTCAGCAGCTGAGGCGTTCGCTGGCTTCCAAATGCCGGCGTAGATCCTGACCACATTGGGCAGGTGCTGCATCTACGTACGGCGACGGCCAACGGTAGCACCCTGAACGCCGGCTCGAAGCTCCGCGCCCCTCCAAGATCAAGCTCGCGGCCGCTACAATAACAATGACGTCCAGAAGCCACATTAAATCTCACTGCCAGTATGGCTCTGGCGGCAGGGGAGCGCTGTCAATTGTCAATCACGGTTGCATGTCGTGATTCCCCGGGCCTGCAGTTGTTCTATATGGTTGGGTGCCCCTGCATGTGTTTACGGCCTGCAACAGGGGCAAAAAACATCGCACCCTGGCCTGGGACATCCGACGGATGTTTTGCAACCTGTACGGCAGACAGGTTTTTAAGGAAGGCGCCCATCCAGCGGAGCAACGTGCCTCGGATCTTCCAACGCGGACGCTGTACCTCCCTGACCTCGATGTCTCCGATCAATGTTTATGGCACGCTTCGCTAGATCATGCCATCGGGTTTGGCGATGGGCAAACCCAAGTTTGACCCGTGGCGTGGCATCACATCCGGAGATTCAATTGCCGTTCCAAGCCCTTGCACAAGCTCTTGGCTGAAACTCTTGGCTGAAGCTAAGCTACGTCTAAACAGCGACAATGCTTGATCATTGGGCTTTGGGGTGATCCGTGGCCTGCGTCGTTTGGGCAGCTATCCTTGCTGGTTGTCTTCTTGCTTGTGGCCTGGCCACCAACAATACATTGCACGGAAACAGCCGCACATGCTCGGAAAACAGCGCCGGGGCAGGAGCTGCTTCTCCGCCTTCGAGAACATCACGGCCTAACATTTCCACAAGCTAGAGAAATACATCTTACAGCTGTGGAGAGCGACCGCAGAAGCGAGCGTTGTTCTTCTTGTTCTTGTTGTTGTTGTTGTTGTTGTTGTTGTTGTTGTTGTTGTTGTTGTTGTTGTTGTTGTTGTTGTTGTTGTTGTTGTTGTTGTTGTTGTTGTTGTTGTTGTTTGTTGTTGTTGTTGCTGTTGTTGTTGCTGTTGCTGTTGCTGTTGCTGTTGCTGCTGTTGCTGTTGCTGTTGCTGTTGCTGCTGCTGCTGCTGCTGCTGCTGCTGCTGCTGCTGCTGCTGCTGCTGCTGCTGCTGCTGCTGCTGCTGCTGCTGTTATTGTTGTTGTTGTTGTTGTTGCTGTTGCTGTTGCTGTTGCTGTTGGTTGTTGTTGGTTGTTGTTGGTTGTTATTGTTGGTGGTGGTGTTATTGGTGGTGTTGTTGGTGTTGTCGTTGTTGTCGTCGTTGTCTGTCTGTCTGCCTGCCTGCCTGCCTGCCTGCCTTCTGCCTGTCTGCCTGCTTATTTCTTTCCTGCGCACATGACCACCCGAAGGGAGTCGCCCCGAGGGGCGTGCTTTAGCGGTCCAGTCTGTGTAAAACTTCACACAATCACACACAGCCCCCATTAGAAAGAGTTGAAGCCCTGTGCCCTGTGTGTGTGTGTGGATTGCTGGCGCGTGCGTGCCTGTTTCTTGCTTTCCTTCTTCCTTCTTTCCTTCTTTGTTTCTTTCCTTCCTTCTTTCCTTCCTTCCTTTCTCTTGATTTCTTTCTGTCTTTCTTTCTGTCTTTCTTTCTTTCCTTCTTTCTTTCTTTGTCTCCCTCACTCTCTCTCTCTCCACATGGGCTTCGGCGTGGCCTTGGGGGCGAGCGCGCACTTCCGCGGGTGATCGCGCTCCGGCGGTGAGCACGTTGTTGCACAGTTCGTCCGAGCACGGGCCATCTTCAGAAGCAGATGCCCTGGCACCAATACAAGCAGGAAAAGTACGTGAGCACACTGGACACACCTGGAAGAGTACGTGAGCACACTGGACACACCTGAAAAGCTAAGCACACCCAGCCTCCTTCGACAGAGTGCCGCGGCCAGCTCATCATGAAGCATGACGGGACAAGAGCAAGGAGACAGGAGCCAACGCGCCAGTTTGAGCCGATGCGAAAACTCATACGGACAGAACGATCAAGTTGAGCCCGAGTTGCTCTTGTGCTTTGTCTGCTTGTTGCAACTCAATTGTGTGGGAGGCACGAAGACAAAACAACGCAAGGGGAGTGCATGGGATCTTGCTTCCCGCCGTGAGGCCGGGCCAGCGTTTCGTTTTGCTTGACAGCTCCATTTCAGTCAGTTGCCTCGCGGCGTGAAACTTGAAACGCTGTTCCGGCATCCGCAAGCGAAACCAAAAGCACAACCACTGAAAGGCACGCGGCATGAAAAGCCGGTTGCCAGTGTTCACCATGTTCAAACGTAGACTGAGGCCGGCTACTGTTCGGGAAGCCCAGAGCCATCTCCGAAGGCTCGAGCATCCTTTGGGCCCCCCTAGGAGGATCTCAGGAAAACCTGCGAGGCGTCTCTTGGGCCCTGCGCTTTGGCCAGCCCCCTCTCCCACGTAACTAATACCAGCTTTGGGCGTGAGACTATTCTGAGAATACCTCCTTCCGAAGATTGGAAGGTTTCGTCCTTTGTGCAGGGCAACAGAAGCGTAACCTAAGTGCTTCTATTCGGTGTCGGCTGATCTAATCTGTGCCATCGCAAACTTGTGTAGGGCTTAGGCTTAGAGCTGCAGAAGAAAGTATCTAGCATTCTCTGTTCCTGTAGCGAAATATGCAAGATGTTATCTTGCTGCAGATCTTAGCGCTTACCGTATCTTACAGTAGGGTTCAAATGAAAGCGCTGGCGCGGCTCACCGGCGATGGCTCAAGCCTCACATGAAGCGTAGGCGGTACATAATGGGGTTACCACCGTACAGTGGCCTTGCGGTTGAGCCGAACTAGCAAAACTTCGGCACAAACTTGGCCCCGCACGTGCTCTTTGCGCCTCGGTTAGGCCCACCTCGTCAAGTGGGAAGGCTCCCAGCGGAAGCATAGAACCGGGGTCCGAGCAGTTACCCATGGGTTACAATGGATTTTGTCGGGAAATCGGGGTATTGGAAAGTCTGCAAAGAAACTGCAAAGGTCGCTGCAAGCAATCTGAGGCTCGCGCAATGGCGATGTCCTTCACCGGGCCCCTCTTAGCCTTCCTCTTTTGCCAGGGACCTCGCGCAAGTCGCGAAAATTGAGAGCCGGACGTCTGCCAAGTGAGGCTGGAAAGTGCGTCCATTCAAGGGGAATCTTCAACAATGCAACCCGACCGAGGAACCTGGAACAACAAACGCATTTTACATGGGGCACACGTGCAGACGTACAAGTCAACACACTTACAGGCACACTGGCACACGTGTAGTTACTCTGCACAAACCATCTTTGGGCTTGCATGTCTCTGGCCCCACGCCTCCTTCACCCGCCGCTGCACGCAAGCCTGTCAGGAGCACGAGCGTGCTCCAGCACATCACTGTAATCCTAAGGCCCTAGCGCTTCGCAACTTGTGAACTTCTGAAGCAGTGTCCACAGCTGTGGATTTGGCTGGTCAAAATGCGTTCTGGCGGATGGGACTACACTACACTGCGTGGGCATGCCGCTGAACGTGGGAGCCTCATACGGACAGCGACCTGACCCTTAACCCGGACAATCGACAGGCAGGCGTTGGAAAGGAGACACATCAAAACCTGGAGCAGTGGCTGGCCTGGTGCACTTTGACCTGCTCGGGTTTGACCTGCAGCGAGGGTTTGCCAGATCTTGCAAGGTGGCCTTTCGTAGGTTTGGCTTGACAACCCTTTCAACATCGGAGCCGCCGGCTCTTGCCAACACTCGGAGGCCCACGGTAACTCAACCACCATCACGCGAAGCAGAGGAACGCCCATTCTACATATGATAGACTTTGGGAGGGGGGTGGGGGGCAGGGGGGTGGGGGGTGTTGCTGTCCCACATGGTTGACGCCGTGCAACGCTACGTGCTGCATCGCCCTCCATGCCCACGAAGGCCCAACGTCTTTCAGTGTCATCGTTTCATTCACACTGAGCACCGTGCCAAGTGGTCCAGCGACAAACCTTGCCAGCAGCAACAATCGAAATCGCGTAAAGGTACAAATGCAAGAACAAAAACCGGCAGTGGAGTTTGAGCCAGCTGCTTTTGCAAAGGTCCGTGAGAACACTCTCCAGCAGGTCGAGGTCGTCTAAGCCACCACATACGATACGTGCACCATCGTTTCACGGCACGTGCATCTGAGAATCAAACCAGACGGCACGGTCACCATGCCGCCTAGGGCTGGTGACACCTCCACCTGACAGGCAGGATTTTGTTGGGAATGATCACGCAAGATCGCGAAGCTCTGCTCTCGGGGCCCTGCCAATGGCACGCACAGGCCCAGGCCTCAGGTGACAAAAGTGCATCAGCAGCACATGCCTCTGAACGCCGATTCTTCCAGCTCACCAACTCTCGGCACAATAAGACGCAAACAGCGGCAGATGACCGTCATGTCATCATGGAGAGCGCTCAGCTCGCCTGGCAAAGAATCTCATGTCGTTCCCTCTCCAGAAGTGAGAAAAAAGCGATTGAGGGCTGCACTGCTGGGGACGCTCACCATGGCCTGCTGAACGGATTGCTTGTGGCTTTCAGCGCCATCTGTCCCACTCAAGCTGCTCTGCGCATGCTGAGAGCAAGACCCGCGAAGGAAAATCTTTGAAGCAGGTTGCTCAACAAGGACGGGGTCGATTGACCCAGCTGCTTGAACATGAGATGGGCCGACGAGAACTAAATGCAGGAAGGATCTCACGGCTGGGGTCAGGCCAGAAGGCAGTAGGCCTTGTTCACCTCACTCCATCTCGTTTGCTTTCTCGCCCTCTCGGAAGCTCTCACTCTCCCCTTCCTACGTCCTTCTAGCACGCGGTGGCTCAAGCAGCCATGTCAGGCCCAACGCAAGGAGGCTCAACAGCAAATCAAGAATCCAGGGTTTTGTGGCCTACTACATCAAGAGAATGAAGGTATGTTCTTAATCTTCATCAAATGAGCCCGTCTTCGGCCGGGGGCTTCTCTCTGGGATTCAGAGTCTGGTGTCAGCTTGACATTCAGGGTACCCTGACCTGGAATTGACGCTTTCTAACCCATCAATGAAGCCGTACGTACTCAAGATCTTGCATGCTCGACCACACTCAAAAGATCTAACTGTACCCACTCGAGATATTTTGCACACGCCCTGCTACGTAAGCCAATGCAAGTGACTCGGCTACTTGAACATGGCAGCCAGGACTCGATTGTAAGTGATGTAGCTGCTCATCCTTCTGGAGTTTTTCGTGGTGTCCACAGTAGCGTCTCCTGTGGAGCTTGTTGCTGCACAGCGGCTTGCTGGTTCGGTCTGAGCACGGGCGCGGAAACGGTCAAATGTCCATGTCCAACCGACGGCAGAACCGGTCAGAGCGTCGACTTCAAGGCAGTCAGTCGTCTAGTACCGTCATTGTTCGTGCATCTGCCGGCGATGCGACATTCGTCCACAGTTAGCCCGCAGAAAAGCCACTAATCCACGGGATCGAAGTCTTTGACATCTTTGACGTCTTCCAAAGCCAGGGATGCCATAACCGCCTTCTCCAAGTCTGGGTCTCCGGGAACCGGCAGAGAGAAGCTCGGGGTAAAATCGAGAGAAGCGAGGAAACCCAAAGGACCGTCTTGCTGCGCAGGTTCCGAACCGAGCACTGGGCTCTCCACATCCACAACCAGGGAGGGCGCTGTTCCCTCCTCATCGACCAACTGGAAGTAGAAAGCTTCCCGGCCACGGAAGGAGTACTTCTGAACCGCCAGCCGGCCATCTTTGTCAATCCAAAGGTAGAGGCCCGGGCGCTCGGCGAGCATGAAGCACACGAAGCGGGCCGAGTCCGAGCCTTGAAGGAGCCCGTCCCGCTCTGGGACGCGCAGCTCGAAGGTGGCTCCGGCACGAAAGGGCTCGGAGCCGTCATAGCGGCTCAGAGACACCCGGGACACGTGCTCGCTCTCCAGGGCCACGAGGTAGTCCAAGGGCCGGCGCAAGGAGCGCAGCGAGCACCGTCTGGCGCGGCTTCTCATCAGAGTTCCAGGGAGGCTTCCCTTCCTTTGGCCCCATTGGCGGCCCCTCACCCAAAGCCCCTGTTCCAGGACGAAAGGCTCTCCGGAGGAGGCCTTAGACTCTACCAGCAGGGACCCCTGAGCCACCAGAAAAGCTTGGGCAGCCAGGGTCTTCAAGGAACAGACGCAGCCGTGCAGAGAACCTGGCAAGGCCTCCGGCAAGGCCTCCGGTGGCCCAAGGTCGATGCCATCTTCTTGGCCGGCGTCGATCTTCACGGCTGAGGCGCCCATATGCGCCCGCCAAAGCCTCTTTTGAGCCCAAAATCGTGGAACCAAGACGGAGAGTTCAAGTCTCCAAAAGATGGCAGAGTGCAAAGTTGTGCTCAGAATATAATATTGCTCTCAGAATGAGGCAGTGAGTTGCGCAGTGTTTCAGAAAACAAAACTTGCGGCGCCGCAACAAAGTTGGGTTTCGGACATTGGCAGAAAAAAGACTTCGACTTTAATTAGAGGGGTAAATTCGGGTATACAGTATCATCTCGAAGGCGCTGCATGACATGCAGAGACCGGCCCAGCAAACCTTTGCAACGACGAGAAGACAAACCTTCGCATTCATAGCTCATATGTGAAAAATAGGTACAGCCACTTCACCACCACCACAACAGGTCAGCAGATCCGAACATCCGAAGCCGAAGCAGCCTGCACTTTAACCTGCACTCAACTACTATTCTCCGAGTATCCGATCCTTTTGTGAGACAGTCCGCTCGGCCGGCATCAATGGCAGCTATTTCACCGCTGGCGGTCTCAAAGTTAATTAAGGTCCACGTAGGTCCATGATGAGGATCCGGATAAAAAGACGCGCGCGCACACACACACACACACATCTGCGACGGGTCCGTAACCAGTCCGGAAACTCACCTTGCAAACAGTAAGACCCTAACGGTGAGACCCTAACGAAACTCAATCGGCAGCTGGAAGAGGAGGACCAGGGCAGGAGCCGCGAGCGCCTGCGGACAAACTTCTTCCAAGCTTCTGAGCTCTGCTATGGGTCTTGCAGCATTGTCGCTCGGCTGAAAAAACTCGCCAGTGCGAGAGCGCCTGCACCCATGAGAGGCGAGATGCTGCATTTTGCTGACCTGCTCGTCCTTTGCAAGTCGTCTCGGCCCTGAGCGAGGTGGCATTGCTCAGCAGGCACAGCTGGCTGTCGAAGGCTGCCGACTGATCCGAGGAAGCATGGAGATAAGCGTCTGACGGGTCGCCCTCGCACACGCCTTCTGGATTGCAAATGCATGCCTGGCAGTGAGTGAACTAGCTTTCAAAATCTCCGACTATTGGTCAGCTCAAGCTGAGGGCCGTGCGAACGGGTAGTCCTGCAAAGCTCGGCAACAGGTGTTCAGAGGGCTTTGCAAGCTGCTTGTGGAGTTGCACACTGTGGCTCATTGTAGCACTTCGAGTCCTCCTCTGTCATGCCTGTGGTGCCCATTAGCAAGTCCATCGCCTTTGTGACAAGCCCAAGAGAATCACCCAAAAAGTAGTACCCTTCTCTGTGTCTGTCTGGCCCTTGTGTGGTCCCTGTGCTCTTGCCAGCTGCGACTCCAAGGCGCGCGGTACGCGATGTCGGACGCCGAGATAGGAATCGCCTCCTCTGGACATTACTGGGGAAACTTTCCAAGACGGGGACCTTAACTGCTCTGAACTTGCCGTCGCAGCTCGCTCTCTACGAGTGGAAAAGGGGTGGGGAGAAAAAAGGGTTGAGGGCCTCGAGCATCTCTGCCTGTTGCGCTGCTCGCACCTGGCCTCGGCTTTGCATCCGCCCTACCATCAGCACAGGTTCAAAATACACGACTACACACATACACAATGCACGTACACATACATACAGGTACGTGCATGCACGCATGCGTACATTTACATGCTACACCCGTACACCGAACCCATACATGCGTAAATATTTGATTACAGATCTCATATACACATACAAATATAGACGCTCTTTCCACCCTCTTCCATGCTTTTCCTTGCAGCTGAGAGCGCAGCCTTGCTCGATCTCTGACAGGGACCCGTCGGGGAGTTCGTTCCGCATCAGCCTGTGCGGCCTCAGCACCGCACGGGGAAGCGACCAATGCGGGGTCGAACAAGCATGGACAAGCTACGCAGCCACGCGAAAGTGTTGCTGAAACTTTGCGGTGGACCCGTTGCTCAGGTCTCCATCCGGACCCACTGCCATGGCCTGCATGGCCTGACGTGAACGTGAGCAGCCATTATCAAATGTTCTATATAGCCTGCGACATCCCGTTTACTCTCCCCTGCTGCCTGGTTGTGCGACGGGTGCGTGGGGGAATGGCCCGAAGCCATGCAGAACAGGCAAAGGCCCATTGAACCTGGCACTCTGGGTTCTTACATCATAGCGGAAAAGGCCTGCCACCAGGGCCGGGACGGATGATCATGTTGCGTAGTTCCTGTGTGCTCAACAAGGAGAGTCATGTCAGGCGGTGTCATGGGACTTCCGGTGCCCAAACGACTTGCAGCCGCGGCTCAGATGAAATTTCTCAGTCAATGTGCAAAGCTTGCTGCCCCTGCTTCTGAACCGAAGGGCTGCAAGGTCTGCAGTGTCAAGCACTGGCTTTCGCTGGCTTGGCAAGGCCCGCAAGGCCCGAGCCCACAAGCCTGCCGCAAAGTTGTTCAATCAGCTTTGGGTCGTCCTGAAGGCTCTCGCATGCCCCGCCCTTGTTGGCAGGTGGTGACACGCCTGAGGCTAATGAGAAGGCTAAGGCTAAGGCAAAGGCAGATGAGTCGTCAAATGGAGCGGGTTTCGGGTGACAGGAAGACACAGTCTAATGATGCACTCTGCACAATGGGGTACAGTGTAGGCTCACCAGACTCAAATCTCAAATCTTGATGTGAAGACTAATGCTCAAGTTGGACTCGACCTCGTCCAAGTCCTCCAACTCCTCAGGACCCTCAGGCTCCAATGGCTCCAATGGCTCCAGCGGGTCTTCCACTGGCTCCGGCACCAGTTCTTCTGGCACTTGGCAGACTTGGCTCTCATCGACGTGGATGTCATGGCTCACGCCAGACAGGCCAGGCGCATGCGGCGCATGTTCTGGAGTTTCTCGGACGCTTCCTTCGCCAGTTGGGGTCGCCGTGGTCGCCGTGGTCGGCGGAGGGTGCTCCGTGGGCTCCGCGGGCTCTGCGGGCTCCTCCAAGGGCTCGAGCACCGAGTCCGTCTCCGAGCAGTGCGTGAGCGAGGAGCTGGGCGATAGCCGGGCACGTTCGGCCGCCTTCCGGCTGCCGCGCCGCACGCGGGAGCCGGAGGCGCCACCCGGCAGCGGCGGCGGACGGCCGCTGTCCTCGGTCTCGACAGGCCCCCCGTCGGCGTAGCGCCGCATCTTGTCCTGCTCCGCCTGGCGGCGCCGGGAGTGGGAGCGGCGCTGCTCGTGCGTCAGCGGCATGGGCGCCTCCGAGGCTCGGAGCTCCGCGATGGCCCGGGGGTTCCGGTAGAGCTGGCGCTTCTCCTTCATCTGCGCGTTCTGCTCCTCGCGCTCCGCCCTCAGCTTGTCCTCCTGCTCCTTCTCCCGGCGCTGCCGCGAGGCGGCGCGCTGCGCCGCGCAGCGGCGCCGGGCCTCGAGCTCCTCGCGGGCGGCCCGGAGCTCCTCCTCCACCTCGCACCTCTGCAAGGCCTCCTTGGCTTTCAGCTCCTTCTCCTCCCTCCTCCGCTCCAAAGAGCGGTGCCGCACCCGCTCCCCGGCGCGGCGCAGCGCCTCCGCGGAGGCTGCGGAGGCCGCCTCCGCGCTCTCCTCCCGATGGCGGCTGCGGCTGCCCTGGCTCTCGGCCCGCTGCGACGCCTCCTCTGCACCCCAGCGTTTTGTCCCGGCATGTTTGTTGCCAACAGATGTTCACACCAAACAAGCATACGACTCATGCCACTCCCTCAAAAGCATTCCCTTCGCGAGTCCTCCTCATCTTTTCTCAGCTTGTCCTCATGCAACGCTGTCTTAAGACGAGGGAGCTCCGGCCAAGTCAACCATGCTCTGTTTTGGTAGGTTTTCTGCGCCTGCTGCTTCTTCCGCTCAGCCAGCCTGACACGAAGCACATGCCACGGGACCGCAAAGACAACTCAAACATTGCAGCCGCACTCAGTGTTGGCACAGTGCCGTCGGCTGAGATCAACTGTTTCAAGTTGCCGTGCATGGCCTTCTCTTGGCGGCTTCAGTAGCTTCGGCTGCTCGCTTCGCCGCCTGACAAGACGATGTCAGCAAGCGTGGTGTTTTTGGCATGCGCACTGCATTTCTTGGGGGGGGGGGGGGGTCATCGCACTCCGCCGGTGGGCACATGCGTTGACGCGGTGCTTCTTCTGCACTGCTTAGCGCTTCCCTCATTCCGCGCGAACCCAAAAACCACGTTCAAATAAGCTTATAAGTCAATCTGAATCTCAGAAGGCTACTTACATAGTTATAGACTGAACATGACTTAGCACGACCTGATTTACCTTCGCCCGGTCATCACCGCCGGTGGCTGCTTCTGTTGCGACAAGGTTCACCAGACACAACATGAAGTACATAAAGCGCTGCGGGCCACAGCCATGCCAATCCGAGCGGGGAATTGGGAATTTGCTCTTGACTGCGCTACCAATGTTTGGTACAAGAGTCATATGGACCAAGTTCCGCTGATGGGCGTTAGCGGTTTGTTGGTGACATTCTGGATGCAGTTACGATCTTGATCGGGCACAAGCCCGAGCCTGTTTGCACTTCATACAAACTGGGCCTTAATTCGCCTCGGCTTCCTGCCGAGAAGCAGACCCGGATCGGGCCTCCTTCCCCCTAACCCAACCCTTCCCCCCATGCCAAATTTTTTGACGCAACCCCCCCCCCCCCCCGGCCTGTGGGACCCCCCCCAATCCCTTGGAGGAGCTGCAACCGATGCCGTGGAGGGTCCCGCTTGTCGGTGGCTCCTACAGGGGAGTGCCTCAAAACCCCCCACCCCCCACCCCCCCCACCCCCCCCACCCCCCCCCCCCCCCCCACCCCCCCCACCCCCCCCCCCCCCCCCCACCCCCCCCCCCCCCCCCCCACCCCCCCCCCCCCCCTCCCCCCCCCCCAACCCCCCCACCCCCCAACCCCCCCCTCACCCCCCCCAACCCCCCCCCGACCCCCACACCCGCTCTGCCCTTCCTCCCTTTTTTTGCGAAACCCTCTTTCCTCCTTTCCTGTCCTGGGGCTGGCCCGGCTGCCGAGGCGGCGCGCGCAAGCGTTTACAATTATCACGGCCGAATTGACCTTAGGCCATGTACATTCGGGAGGTTCCACGATGAGATGGGCACAGGGAACCGCGGCAACAGTGTGACTCGATGTGTTTAATTGCCAGGTCCGTAGACCGAAGAAGGGCGCTTCAAAGAAGTGCAAGAACAACACAAGACACCATCCCAGCGGCCACAAAGCAGAAGCTCCTCAAGCACCAGGTGAGGAAGGAAAGAGAAGAGCAATCATGTTGAGGTTGCCGTTTGTATCCAATCACACCTGGGGGGCGTTGACAGCGCAATGGGATGCAGCGGCAGCATGGGTTCAGATCGCAGACTTTCGAGATCCATTTCAAGGAGCTCCACACGCTCACGTGGAGCTCACGTGCACCACACTATGGCAACTGTAGTTCCTACACAACTTCGATAGCAGGGAGCGCATTATCCACAGCCATGTCTTTTTATGTTCTCCTTCCCCAATTGGGAGGGGTGGATGTCGCCTGTCAGCGACTGTGATTTGTTTGTGGCCCGATGGATACATTCGGATAGCGATAAGCACTCTGACACACCAAATACTCTGCTGGCGGGAGTGTTCCGTGACAATGTTGATTCGACCGGGTGCTATGTGCTGCTCGCCAACAGTGGGTAAACATGAGGGAGGGCATGGCTCCTGACCAGCACCTTCCCGCTTTCACAGGTCTGCGGGTTTTTTTGATGCCGCTTGATGTTTCGTTTCATTTTGTTTTGCACTTCTGCGCGCAATGTGGAGCTTCAAGCCTTAAGAGCTGGAACGGACGGTTGGGGGACGAGTGAATGCTAGATTTTTGCAGACACATCCGCCGAGGCCTCAGGCAGTAGGTGTTTGGGGTACATAAATTGGGTACCCCACCTCTAATCCCCTCCCCGGCACCGGACCATGCATCCTGACCAAAGGGCGCCGACCCACCACGCCCCCCACCACCGCCCCATCCACCGAGGGCATTTGAACGGGGCGCAGGCCCCCGCCCTCCCCCACCCCCAACACCCTGCTAGTCTCTGTTGTCATCAACCGTGCGGTTGCCTCGCCGCTCGGCAGGCCGGCCCCGGCCGAGGCAGGTTCGCGCAGCGTCAAACTTACCAGACGCCTATTTTGGTGACGACGACCCCGCCTCCTCTTCGTTGCGGCGTCTCTCATCCTTCTCATGTTGCTCCTGGGGTCGTTACTCTAGCAAACAGCATGTCATGAACCGAACAATGTTGTGAGAAGTTTCGAAGGGACGGTCGCAGCGCAGGTGGCGGTCCAGCTCTCTCTTCTCTTTGGCGGCCCGCTCTTTCTCAGCTTTGATCCGCGCCTTCCGAGCGGAGGCGCAATACATGTACAGCATACGCATGCACATATACGGATTCTCGTGGTCACCCACCGTGATCGAGTTTGTTCTTTTCATATGAAAACCCTCGTAAATACCCATGAGCATGACATGCTGAACATTTATGGCAACGTCCTTTCTCGGAAAGTCTGATTCTATGTGGAACCGTGCCAACAGAGAAACACGTCCTATACTTCATCACTTCCAACACATCGAAAACATGGAACGAAAATGGTATTTGATTAGTAAACACTGTGTACTTGATTTGCTGAAGACAAGCTTGTCGAAAAACAATTTCTGAGAGAAAAATCGCTATCTGTGAATTTTGCCCACAAATACAAGAATCCAACAAATCCCAAATCCAAAGAGAGCAGCCTGTCATGGGCGTGCGTTTTCCATGGTGCATCTGTTGCGAGTGTTGCGTGCACCCAGCATGTAAGTCGAGAACCTTTTGTCGCAGTACCCCACGTCGACGAAGCTATTGTGAGTTAATTCCTAAACCACGCACATGGGCAAGGCGAGGTTGCAGGAGAGGGGAGGGGGAGGTGGGCGTGGACTCTTGGGCTGATAGCTTGATTCTTCAACCTTACTCGCTGAACCTTATGCCTGAAACTTTCTCGTTTAACGCTTCAGCCAAACCCCATTCCTAAACATGACTCGTCTAAGTCTACGGACCAAACCTTATTCGTTGAAGATTTAGTGAGTAAAATTAGGGTTCTGAGGGAACCTTTCGCCAAGCCTAAAGAATCACAAACACTGATGTTGATATAAAAGTAAGTATTATGACAATTTAATGTCATATAGAAACCACTATTGTGAAATACATTATTTGCTTTTGACACTTTCTTCAGCTCACTTTGTTTGAGATGGAACATTTTTCTAAAGAGGTCATTCTTTCTTAGGCTTTTTCAACAGTTTCATATTTTCCAGACAAATCTCAAACAAAATACTCAACTCGTAGTAGTAGAATATTTTGCCATAAAAGTAATCTTAAGACTGTATCTTTTTGAAGAATGGCCAAAATTAAAATAAATACACAAACAACACCAAGATCAAAAGATGCACCAAGTGTAAATATAACCAAATGAATCATCGCAAATTTAATCAAAACGTGCGGCAGTATCACCATTTTGGGCAAGTGGATCTTGATCAGTGCCCCCCAGCACTGCTCGAAGTGGCCGACGACCAAAGAGTCTCCACGAAGAAACTCCTTGATGATAACCTCGGAAGCATCTGTGTACTTCTGCGCGACGATCGTGAGCTGTTGATTAGATGGTGTCAAAGCTGACAGCTTACACCTCGTTCTAAGTTCATGTTGCTTTACCCCGACAGGTCAATTGCCTTGCTGTCACATTGCTGTCATCATGTGTAAATTACAGGCTCGTGAAAGAAAACGTGTACGTTGCTCACACCGCCACACTTGCACTCGGAGCCTTCGCTCGGACTGACTGGCAGGCTCCAGAGTTGTAAAAGGGGTGAGCTTGAACAGGGCGGCTATTGGTTTCTGCCGGCTCTGCGTGCTCAGAAGTAGGACAGGCTCGAAGCAAATTCATGATCGGGGGCCCCAAGCTTTTGAGGGCACAGCGCGCCAGTTTGGATGTTGACGGCCCGGCCAGACGTTTGGGAGTCTCCAACCATTGCTGGACCTGCGCGGTGGCCTGCGAGGGACATGTAGCGGTATTTGCCAGCTGATTGGTGATAGAGTTGTTTTGCTGGCGCGTGAAGCGCGCTGGACGCGCGTGCTTGGGGCACGTTTGAGGTCAATACTTGTTGAACCTAGCAATTAAGAACCTAACCGCGATTCACAATTAACAGCTGAGAACTGATACGAATTTTTAAGCATCTTTCCATGTTTTGGTGAACGTAAGATATGGTGGCATTGTTCCTCTCGCCCTGAAGAAAGTCCAACCTGGATTCGTCACCATGTGCTCTGGTAGCTCCTACGCGGCTGACCGAGGTGAGGGAAACAGGTGTTGCGCTGCCATAGCTGCGCCAGATATATCAGAGTCCTCCAACCCTGCAATCTTGGGCTTGGAAACTCAACTGACATTCAATCATGCCTTCCAACGGCGTCCTGCGAAGGTTGAAACCGTTCGCAGATCGGCCCATTCCTCGAAGGCGAAGTCGGCATGAGCATCCATCTATCCTATCCAATCCAATCCAACCCGACCCACCCGCTCAACACCGTCCATGTTACCAGTGGCAGTAGCAGTAGCAGCAGGCATAGCAGCCGCAGTAGCAGTAGCAGCAGCAGTAGCAGCAATAGCAACCGCCGACACGACAGAACTAGACTTGCACTCTAACAAAGATGCAGCCGAGGCCTAGGCTGCAACTCTTGCAGCTGCAGCTGCACCATGCGGTTATGGCGCTCTTGCTTTTTGGAGGTTTCTTTGAGCTCCTGGGCGCAGCTCTTCGTGCAACATCACCACGCACTGCGTGGACGTTGCCAGCTGCTGTTGAAGCTCTTGCAGCTGCAAGGCCCTGGAGCTAGTTTCGAAGCTTTTGACCAGCAATCTTGCAAGGGCCGCAAAGTTCTGGAGCTTTTTTTAGACCCCGGAGTCCTGGATTTCTTCATGGAGCATCACCAAGCACTCCGCGGACGTCTGAGCTGTCGCTGCAGCTCTTCCATCTTCAGCCGCGTTCTCTCATCCAGCCTCTGCAAGTGACCACACCGCAAACCGAAGACTGGCTGCTGAAGTCCAGGAGCATCTGCAACTGCCGCTGCGGGTCGAGCAGCTGTGCTTCCAGCTATGTCCTGCGTTCAAAACACCTGGCAGCATGCTTGACCACCACGATCATGAAGAGGCCCACCCCAGGACCACTCGAAGGTGTCCAGCTTCACCCAGCGTTGCAACTGCGGAATTGCCACACCTTTTCTATTGCGAGGGGACAGAAACCTCCTCTCTCGCCGGTTCAAAGGAAAGGAACAGCGCATTCAACAGACCAAAAGGCCACTGAAGTTCTGGGCATTCAAAGGCAAATTGAGTATTCGAGCGAATAGTAAAAACCTACTCAGTCGCTTTGAAAGGGATGTATGTTGTTAGGCATGAAAAGATATTACAGTTTCTCTTCTGTCAAACTTATTATTAACCCGCCCCCCTTGCCATGCTCCCCATGTGGCCGAATGTGGCCGAAAGGCTCGCCGACCTAGATCATTGGGGGGGTAAGAGTGTTTTTTTGTTTTGCTGCGGGTGCTTTTTGTTGCGGGTGCGGGGCGCGTTTGTTTTTTGCTGCGGGTGTTTTCGGGTGCGGGGGCGCTTTTTTTTTGCTGCGGGTGCGTGGGCGCGTTTTTTTTTTTCTGTTGCGGGTGCCGTGGGGGCGCGTTTCTCTTTGCTGCGGGCGCGGAGCGTGTTTGCTGTTTTCTCTAGATTGTACTATGAAAACCTCTATTTTCACTATATTCTAATAGGAAAACCTCTTTCTTCTCTATATTTCATTTTCTGTGAAAACCTCTAGTTTTTCTAATTTCTCTATACTTTAATACGAAAGCCTCTATTTCTCTATATTTTATAATAACGAAAGCCTCTATTTCTCTCTGTTTTTGTCTATATCGTCATAGTTTTCCTCTATATTTAATGAGGAACACATGAGAGGGGAACTTGTGAGAAACTAATTCTTTGTGTTATCTCAATATGTGACTTGCAATTCAAAGTGCTTTTGTTCCTCTTGTCCTATTTCAATAGAAACCCCATTGTTTTCTCTGTATCTGAATAGGAAAACCTCCATTTTCTTAAAACTTGAACATGAAAACCTCTCTCTCTTCTCTACACGTTGACAGGAAAACCTCTTTTTTGTGCATATTTTGATATGAAACCTCGCTTTTCTTGTTATGTTAATAGGAAACCTCTATTCTCTATATTTGAATATCAAGACCTCTACATCTTAATATGAAGACACTTGACTTTGTATTTTCGCTATATTTTCGTATGAAAACCTCTATTTCCTCTGTGTTGTCATAATTTCTCTCTATATTGTATAGGGAAAAGCTCCATTGTTCCATAGTTTACTATTTTGTCAGTATTTTCAGACGTCTTCTCTTTATTTCACGAGGAAGACATGGGACAAGAATACATGAAAAGCAAATTCTCTGTATTGTCATAAGAGTACATGTATTATCTCTATCTGTGACTCGCAGACAACAAGTGTTTTTGTTCATGTTTGTCATATTCTCATAACACAAGCTGTATTTTCTCGATTCTTTACTAAGAAGACGTTTATATTTATATCTCTATTTTTAATCGGAAAATTCACTTCCACTATAAGGTCTGAATTTCGTACGAAAGCAAGCATATATTCACTCTTGTTTCAGGGGGGTTGGGGGCTGCGCAGACCCCCGCATTTGAAAACACAATGCTCGCATCATGGGTTTGGAAGGGATTCGTAAGCTTTGAAGCAGGCTTGCCGGCGAAAAAAAGAGGGGGGTTGGGGGGGGGGCCCGGGGGGCGCGCAGCCCCCCCCATTTGCAAACACAACGCTCGCATCATGATGGGTTTGGAAGGGATTCGTATGATTGAAGCAAGTTTGCCCCCCATTTCAAGCGGGGGGGGATGCTCTCATGATGGGTTCGGAAAGGATTCATTTACTTTGAAGCAAGCTGGCATGGCTTTAAGAAGCGGGGAGTTGGGGGGGACGCAGCCCCCGCATTTGCAAACCCAATGCTCGCATGATAGGCTTGGACAGGATTCATATGCTGAGAAGCGAGCTGGCACGGTTTTAAAGAGGGGGGGGGCGTCGGACGGGGTGCAGCCCTCCCTCCACCGTTTGCAAACACAATGCTCGCATGATGGCCTTGGGAAGGATTCAGTGCTTTGAAAACGCTTGCACAGTTTAAAAGAGGGGGGGGGGGGTTGGGGAGGAAATTGCAAAACAAATGACCTGGGGCCTGGGGGGGGGGCGCGTTTTTTTGCTGCGGGTGCGGGGGCGACACGCGCCAGGTCACTCACTCACCGGGGCGGCCCCCGAAAAAAACACCCACAGCAAAAAAGCACACAACAAAAAACAACACGGGTTCCTGGGGGGGGGGGAAGCATACATGCACACATATAGCTTGCCCCCTGCACTGGCCCACCGTTTCCGGCTTACTGAATGGCCCAAACTTGAATCGTTTCAGTTGTATGGTTGTTTGGTTGTCCTCTCAATATGCAACAATGTGTGTTTCCCTATTCATATTAACCTGTAAAAGGATTAGAGGTGACGAGTCAAGCTTTCACATGTAGAGAACATACAACAGAAGCGTTCTATGAGTGCCCTACCCTACCAACATGAAAATGCGGAAGCAATAGAAGTTCCGACAACCCCTACAAACCTAAACAAACACAATGCTTCAAAACACATGAACTACCACTTACATTGAACTTCAATGTGGAGGACTCCTGGGAAGAATCTTGGATCTTGGATGTCACTAATTTTGACAAACGAAGCATATCGAGCTGGATGTGCTTGCAAGGGTTGCAGGTACATGAGTTTACCATTGGTTTGTTTGGCTCTTGCCGGCAAGGTTGTAGATGGATTACTGTGCAGAGCTTGTAGGAAGAAGGGTCTCTCCATAACAAATAGTTTTCAAGTGTGCGGGTCGCAGTACTCGTAGTTTGCTTTATTGGCAGAGCTCGTTGGACGACAGGTTTTGATACTATCGTGTTGGGCTTTGTCATAGATTTTATGGTCAGTTCACTAGCGGCCGGGATTCCTTGCAGAGCTAGAAGGACGAGAGTGCTATGTCGCAAGAACTTTCGTACTTGGCTTGCTATACGGCAAGGGCTTCTTTCAGCGAGGTCTCGTCTACTAGGCTTGTGTTTTTTGCGGGAACACCTGAGCTTTGAGGGGGGGGTGCAGTATATGTAGTTGGCAGCATATACTTGCTTTATACACTTTGCATGAGCAGGTACGACAAAGAAGCACTCTCCCAACATGCGCCCTGAGATGCCACCCACACCCTAGCGCCCGATCTCGCGGCTCCTGCATCTGGCGCTGCAAAGACCGGGCTCTCTCCTCCTGCTGCCGCCGCCGCTCCTGCATTGTTTAGACTCACTTCCAAGCAGGTTCCTGGCGTTCCTTAACTTCTCAGACTTCTCAGGGGTCCTCGCGAAATTCCGCTTGGTTGACTCTCTAGACTCCACTCAAGTTTCCTCTCCGTGGTTCGGGTGTGATGGTCACTTGTGCAGTTTAGTGCTTTAGGGCGTTTCTGGGCACTGTCTTGAGAAGTGGCCACTCCTTTACTCTGGGGTTCTGGGTGGGTCCGTCGACTTGGATGGGGGACTAAGGGACCGTGGGCCGGATGAGCGCTGTTGAGGGCGTGTTTTTTTGAACATGAAGCCTCGAGAGTCTCAACCAAACAGCCAAACAAATCAATCAACAGACACAAGCGACACACACCAGCGACCATCGATTCGTCGGAACCGCTCGCCTCGTCGTTCCTTCTCTCTTCGGCTTCTTTGGCCATCTTTGACTCCTGCTCCACCCTGCAAATTGCGAAAGGAGCGTGAAAGGCCTGATGAGCTGTTGCCGCGTGCTCTCCGGGTAGAGTCCGGGTAGAGAGTACATAGCAGTCACGGCAGCCCCAATTGCGCGCCTCTTCTCAAGCAGCCTTTGCCGCTTCTCATGCTCCTGACGCTTGATGCGCTCCTCGTGCTGGACCTCTGAAAACTCCCAAAGAAATGTTCTGCACGAGAACACATTACAGAGAGAGAGAGAGAGGGAGAGAGAAAAACAAGAAAAGAATAGAGAGAGAGAGAGAGAGCGAGCGAGAGAGGGATCGAGCGAGATAGAGAGAGCAAGCGAGCGAGCGAGAGCGCGATAATCCGAGAGCGAGCGCGCGAGAAGGAGAAAGAAGGAGAGAAGGAAAGACAGAGCGAAAGAGCATGAAAGCGCGAACAACTGCGAGAGGATGAATGCAGATATTTATTTCATCACGTCATCGGCGTGTGCTGCCTGGGCGTCCTTCTTTCGCTGCTCCTTCTCCTCCTCCTCTCGCAGCCTCTCGAGCCGCTCACGCTCCTTCACCTGCACACCGATTCTGGGTCGAGAGACTCCATGAGACTACATGTCACAAGATGGCACAAAGATGCACAAAGTATGTTCGCTGGGATTCGCTGGGAGTTCAAAACAGGCTGGCGCCGGGAGCCTCGCGGACGCGCTGCCGGGTTTTGGCGATGACGTCCGGCTCCTTCCACTGGCGGGGCTTCGGGCTCCAGATTTTTCATGTTCATCGCTGTTTTGGATTGTGATGTCCTTTGCGTCCGACCTGCAAGGCAGAAACTCGAAGAGGACTCAACAAAGGATCTCAAAGGACCCAAAAAAGGACCCTCGATGATTTTTGGGCTTCCCGGCGCAAGCTCACTCCAGGCACGGTTGCTGCTGTCGTTCGTGGATTCCTCGCAGCATGCCACCGGAGCATCTTCCCGTCACTGGTTTCGTCTGGTGGGGGGGGTCCTCTCCGCGCAGCATTCCTGGCTTTGCGACGCAAGGAATCGACTCTTTAAGAACTCTTAGATTCTTAGATTAAGCTCTTATAGTGAATTAACTTACACTCTGCCGCTCTGCCCGACTGCTCTCAGAGCATCCCTCGGAACCTCCTTTGGTCTCCCCGCCTCCCGAGGCTCGGCTTGACTCCCGCGAGGCCAGCGCGGAGGACGAGAGCTGGCAACAAGCGAAGTCGAAAAGCAAAGAACCAAGGAAAACAGATGGGTGTAGATGTGCAAAACACAGATCTAAATTCCGAAAGGCTTGCAGATCTATTCTTTTGCTCAAATCGGCGCATGAGCACGAGCAGAACCTTTCGATGTCCTGCAAAACTGCAGACTGCAGAACAACACGCAGGAGCAATCCGATGATCCTCAAGACAAACTCTGAGCCCTCAACGTCTAAGATGTCAAACAACAGTCACAGCACAGTGCCAGGACGTCCTCGGCGCCCCACGGTCAGGTACATCCGCCGCAAGGCTGTCGAACTCTTCAATCAATTCCACCTGCTTTGGCTGGAATGTGATAGACTATGGTGACCCCATCCACCATGGAAGTACTTCCTTAAGCGCACCGTCAGCTGAACTGAAACTTGCACAGCATTTGGTGGAATTGCATCCAGGCCTGTCGCTTGCTGAGGCTCCGCGGCAGGTGCCTAAGGGGCTTCGATACGGGAGCGCTCTCCACACTTAAACACGGTAAGGTCCCCATCCGAAGGGGTTGCAGCATCGTTTGCAGGCGTGGCGCAGGAGGAAGTGCAAGACCAGGTGCCCCCGACCCTGGTTTCCGGGCTTTGGAGGGCCGCGGCCTCTCAGCACCTTGGTCGTCCCAGGCTGCGCCGGTGCCTGGCTTCCAGGCATTTTTCTCTAGTTTTTGAGATTTTTTGAGGGCTCCTCGTTCTTTAGGTTTATAATGGTTTTTATGGCCTACCGGTCCGAAGTCCCAAAGTCCAAGAGCGGCCTGGATGACAAGCCTTTCGCTGGTCCCCTCCAGGTTGGGGATGAAGACCTCGACACCCGGGCCCCGAAAACTCTGCAGGCGTCAGTACAAGCGTACTTCCTCTCAACTGCGAGCCGTGGTGAGCCGTGCCTCCGCTCCCAACAGCGCCTCTCGAAGCGTGAGCGGCACGTCCAAGTGCACGTCGTCGTCCACTTGCCGGAACCTGACTCTTGGGGCTTTTGGGACGATGGGATCGCTTGGGGCTCACTCCGGGATTGACATGGGGCTTTCAAGAGGGGAACAATCTGCGCAATCCCAACCCCGCCTGTCATGTGGCAAGACCTTCACTTGCACGAAAAGGTGGCCAGCCTGCGAGCTGAGGCTGCAGCAGCACTTCCGAAGTGTTCTCATGGGAGCTCCAATATGCAGGGCTTTTGCAAGTAGCGATCAGGTGAGCTCCTTCCCGCCCCGGCTGCCAGCATGCCCAGCACCTGACATCAAATGGGGCATCGGCATGACCAGGGAACCATTAACCATCAATGTTGACCCATGCTTTTGCGGAGGCCGCCTCAAGGCCCTTATTAGAGAAGCATTTTAGGAGTACGACGCGCGAAGTCGACCCAGAACAGAACGAATTGAACCATCGATAAAGGTTGAGGAAACTCGATGCGTTTATATCACATCAAACCATTCAGACATGCACAGGCAGCGTACGCAGAAGCTTGAAGGGTTCGGCAACCTTCAGCTTCTACGCCGTTGAGGAGTTGTTGCTGTGCGCTGTCCGCCCCACGGAAACACACAAGAACTTGTGTGTTGGAGTTTGGTCTTAACGGTTCGTTTAGTGTGGGTAGAGTCCGGGTAGAAGCGCTGCATCCGCGTTTTGGTCTCTTCAAGGCTTCTGAGAAGTTTCTCCTCTGGCGGTATAGTGGCGAGTGGTGTGCTCGCTGGTCTTTGTGTTCCATGCTTTGGGTGAGGGCGAAGCTTGAAGTGCCTCTTTGGCTCTGGACCTTGGGGTTCATAGGGAGGTTTGAAACACACACCCACTGAAGGCAGAGAGAGTGTGTTCCAAGTTCCACGAGTCGACTAATGAAAGAAAGGGGGCTGAAAGAAACAAGAAGCCTGTTTTGAGGCCGGCACCGGGGACCCGCAGCTCCATAAGGTTCCGCACCTCAAAGGGAGGGATGGGGGGTTCTGATAAGAGAACTTGAAAGCGTGTGTTTTTTGATGCCTCCCCCCCCCTCTTTTGCAGAGGGCCACTAGCAAAAGCCCTTATAGTTACCCTGCCTGACGTCCTTACATGGCCCCTCATTGGGAGTTTTTTGCGAGGCACCCCTGCTGGGACGTTGATGCGAATATCGCGGGTCATCATCTTGGTGCTCTCGCCGCGGCAGCCACGACAGGGATGGTCCAAGACCTGGCTAAAGCACTCGCATATGGGCCTCCTCCACCTTCACTGTTGTGGCACCGAACTCACACTGAGCTCCCATCCATGCCGCTGCCACGACACCTGCGACAGACATCGACAGTTTGCAGAAGTGACGTTCATCAGCGATGCAGTTCAGGCGATGCATCTCCTGCTCCGGCCTCTGGCAAGGGAGGCCCATGCTGAAGATGCCCTTCTCTTGCCGGTGAACACCAGAGCCTCTGCAAACCTCGGCATGAGTTTCGCCGAGAGAGCTTTCATAACCCCTGCGCAAATGCCAGGTGTATGCCAAGTGTGCCGGTTTTTTCTGAAGTGTTTGCGTTTTGCTGACACAGCTGCACGGCACTTCGACCAGCTTGTGCCCTCTCGAGCGCCTGAACCGTGGCAGTCGGGGCACACCTGAGCTCAAGAGTGTGTCTTGTACAGACGCCAACTAAACGGTCGCTCCTTGTGACTCCTAAATTCGGCCTCCGGCCGACAGGCGTCTGGATCTGGACTCCCCTCCCTCCCAACCCTTCCCGCGCTGTGGACCTGCCCGGACTTTCCCCTGCTGGCGCTAACTTTTTCTTGGTTTTGTTGCAGGAGTTTGAAAAGGGCTTCGGAAATTTGTCCCCTTGTTGCTGCGGGATTCGGGCTGGTCGGCTGCTCTCCGGCATCTGTATCCTCCACCCGCGGTCGCTTTTTCCGAGGTGCACCGCTTGGACCGGTGCGTGTCTTGTGGCTTGGGTCGGCACGGCGGCCGAGACGGTGGGGACAAGCGTTTACAATGATACCCCACCACTACATAAATTCGAGCCTGCTTCAGTCTGAGCGAGACCTCCTTCTCGCATCCTTGGGCGGCCTGGCACAGAGGTCAGAATTCTTAGCGCCCTATTTGTCGGATGGCGCTGGCCTCCAGGAACGTCACGTCCAGGTGAGTGGTGACATCCTGGCAACCAAAAGGTCTCGTGCGGATCACACACACAGAGACACACAGAGACACACAGAGACACACAGAGACACACAGAGACACGGAGACACATCGACGCAGAGACACTGAAAGGCAGCGACACGGACACGCCGCGGACGTGAGTGCGTGAGACACTGGTTCCCTCGGGAGCTGTCTCGAACGCTACACACCGGTGTGGAAGATTAACACTGGGAAGGCACACACACTGGAGGCTGGGTAGGCACGGCAGGCACGGCGGGGGCCTCGCCCCTCTGAGCGGCGGAGGCATCCATGTTGGGCCGGAACTGGGAGTTGCGGCCGAAGAGATCCGAGAACTCCGAGAACATCTGCGAGGGGGAGACCCAGCCGTCGCTGTCATCGTAAGGGAATCCGCCTGTGTAGGAGGAGCCCGGGCCGGCGCCTGCAGAGGTGCCGGCGGTCGCCTGGTCCAGAGCGGCCCGGCGCTTGGGGTCCATCAAAGTGTCGTAGGCAGATGTCAGCTCCGCCATCTTCAGGGAAGCTGTACGATCTCCAGTGTTCAGGTCCGGGTGGTACTGCTTCGCCAGGACTCGGAAACGCTCCTTGACCTCCTGCTGCGAAGCACGCCGGTCCAGGCCCATGACCGTGTAGGCATCCCGAGCGGCGAAGCCGCGCAGGCCGCAGCGGAGGGCCAAGGGGCGGAAGGGGCCCAAAGGGCCGCAAGGGAGGCGCGCGGGCAACAGCGCCCGCCGCCAGGCCATCGCTTGGCCTTCTAAGAGCTCGCCATGCCGTTGCTACTGGTTGCTGCCGATTGCTCTGGGCTCTGAGATGTTACTTGTTTTATCACTGGCAAGGCCTGCCAGGCTTATCGCTTGTGAGCGCTGTGAGAGCTCGCTCATCCTAGACAGCTGCTGATCGGGAGACAAGCAAAGAGCACACTCGGGAAGCGCGCAGGCAAAGCCGCCAAATGCCCGCAGGCTGGCTGGACTGTGCAGTTCTGCGCCTCTGGCGGCCTCAGAACCTCCAACCTTCCAGACCAGTGGTGCACCTGTCAAGTATTGTCAAGTTGCTACTCCTCACACTTCACATTCCTTCACACCTAGCTTGCGGATAGTGCGCATGATGCGTGGGACAATCTGGGTGTTAGCGGCCGTGATAGGCATGACTGCGTCCAGCCTCGTCGACGTGTGCCTTGCTCTCGTACTCGGAATAGCCTCCCGCCTGCAAGTTGCAGGACTCAGACGCACGCATGCCCGGGATGGCCCGGGGTTGCCATCACTTTGCTCCTGTGGCCTGAGCTTGTTTGCGGCAGGACGAGAGCGGACACGGCAGAAAGAGATGGGACAGAAAGAGGGACTCAGAGCACACCTGCTGCAGAAAGTCAAGAGCCAAAGAGTAGCGTGGCCCGGATTGAATCAAGTTGACCCGATTGCGGTGACATCGCTGTCACCGCCGGGTTGCTCAAGGAGACTAATTTTTCTGTTGAAGATGCTCCGGGAGCCTTGGCTTGCTGTGGTTCCAGCTCTCTGGCTGGACTCACTGGCCTGGAAGCTCAGTGCCATACAGTGTCATACAGTGCCAATTAACCCATGCGGCGTTACGGCTTGCAGGGCTTTAGCCACGTTCGATCTCTCGCCATGCGTAGAGCAGCTTCCACTCGGGTCCAGGCAAGTCGGGCTCATGCACTGGTGCCTGGCCGATCGTTCTGGGATAATGTGAGAGCCAATGGAGAACGGCCGCTGTTGCGCTTTTGCACCTCTTGCACTGGTGACCCAGCGTAGCCCGAAGCCCAACCTTCGGGAAGAAGGGAAGACAACTGCAAGGATGTCGCCAAGCTGCTCTCATCTGCTCTCCGAGGCCGCGTCCTGGAACGTGAGCAGGTTCAGCGACCTCGGTCCCAGCAGAACAGCACCTTGGGCCTTCGCCACGCCTTCGCCGCAAGATTTAAGCCCCGGCCTGATCCAGACCGTCCGACTCTTCAGTGCCCCATCCGGAATCAACCATGTCAATCAGTACTCTGAACCCGAAGACTCATGAAAGCTGGCAGCAGACCTAGCGGACACTCTGGGCTCACTGCCGTTCTACTTGAAATACAAACCGCTCACTATGCTTAAGCTGCCAAGATGATAGCGTGCAGTGTTGTCATCGTCATACGAGCCGTTGCACTGTAAACGAGTGGATGCAAGTGGGTGCAAGGCAGGAAGCAGTAAGCAAGCCTTAACGGAACTACAGCAATTGCACAAGGCAATGCTCTTCAGCAGCTTGCATGGTCACCAATCTACTGATGATAATACATGAACATATATACAGATGTATATCCGGAGGAAAATGCAATTACGGACGATCTCGTTCGTACCGTGACTTACTCACACTTCGAAGATCGCAGGGTTTGTGGTAAACACCGATTATGGAATGAACATGTTGTCGAGGCATCTGTAAGAAGACACAGATAATAACTTCCAACATTTACGCGCTAAGTTCACGTGGGCTCTATTCAGCACTCCTGCTAAATCCGACACCAATGCGTCGCAATTATATGTGCTACGCTCGTCTCTTGGCATGAAAACTAACTTGCAACCAGAACTAGTAATAGAAACGCTTTATGAACCACGCGTGATTAACATGCTTGTCTGCATCCGTCTCCGTATTGGCACTCACACCTTGCGCGTGGAATGGTTCTTTATCTTGTTCGCTATGCATGTGCTTTGGATTTCCTCATTTAGTTCGTTCTGGCTGGCCATACTCTTGTAGACCCTGGGATACTTAAAGTCTGTGCTTCTGGTAGGGGCACACCATATTCAGGCGAGTTACCAAGCGTTGCTTAACCTGACGGTGTGGGGATGCTCCCGTGCTGAATTGCATGTGCTGCAGTGGTCATTCTGCCGTGCCTGTGTAAGTCGAATCAGGTATCTTTGTCTTCATCAAATTCTTGAACACATATCAGTCTTTCTTCGTTCGTATTGAAACAACTGTCTGCCGAATAAGTCCTGCGGTCTCTTGTTTCTGTAGTTGCTCTCTTCGTTCATGGGGAGTGCAAGAACATAAGCCATGTGGTCTTCATGTACCATTGTTGTATCCCTTGTTGCTTGTGTGTCTTGGCATTGGTGAAGATTGTCAATCAATAGGTTTTCGGGGGGTGAACTGCGCGACCTTCCTGTCACATACAAGTCTACTGCATTTCTGACGAGTTTTGTTTTGGTTCATATGATGTCTCTGAGGCTTTTTCACCGTGTTGGATGGATTTTTCTCATGTGAAAATACTCTGGAAACCCATAGCACATCGTGAATGAGATGTTTTAGGGCATCAACGGGCATCAGCCAGCTTTGACAAGTCAAAGGCAAGGAAGGACTGCGACGAAAACAGGAAGTTGTACATTGTTCATACCGGCACCTGACATTTCGCAAAAAGAGGAGGGCGAAGAGCTGTCAAGAAAAACCCTGGGTCCTTTTTTTGCCGGTCCGTTGTCGCTCTGCAAGGCAGGCATCACGTTAACGTCTGCGGCAAGGGGACCCTTGCACGCTTTGGCACGCCTTAAGATGGCAGAGTGAGACATAAGACATAATTGACTTAAAGTCTGCATAAAATCCGGCAAAGCAAGCCTTGCAGTGACCAAGCTGTGAGCACCTCTGAAATCGGCAACTGCTGACGTTCGGAGTGTGCACTTCAGGTCTCTCAACAGAGCAGCTGCACATCCGGCCAAGGAAACGCTAGGATTGGTAGATCAAATCCTACCAAGCACCGAGTGAAACCCACTCAGCGCAGCAACACACATGATCACACATGATTCGCCGTCCTCAAGACAGCAGACCAAGCAGTGCTAGGCAAACTCATGGCGAAGCTCAGCGCGCCCGGCTGACGACCCATACACTATGTGTGACGTCAGTCCTGGGCATTACTGCAAGATCATTGTCGGGATGCTCAGCACCTCCTCCGAGCAATCTCGTCTGTCCTCAACACAGAGGGTTTTCGTGCTGAACTTTGAGAAACGCCCCCCCCCCCCCAACATCTCCGAACCCCTCCACATCTCTGACATCTCTGAGCTTGCGTGAGCCGAGCAGCGAGGGAGAGGTCGGCGCAGCTCGGTGAGGCTGGTGGCGTGACTGGTGGCCCTGGCGGCTCCGGGAGAACCCCAGGTGCCGCTAAGCCTGGACTTCGCGCAAACTTCGAAGCCCATCGGTGATTTAAAGGGCAGTCGCAGCTACTGAAGCTGCTGCCTGCCGCACGCTCGTGAGCAGCGATCCTCTGACATGAAACACGGTGAGAACTCTTATGTCCGGATTTCTAGCAACTCAGAAGCCAGCATAAACAATACGACTGGACTGGAGAGGTTTGTTTGGTCTCCTCTGGTTCGCGGCAAGAGCATCCTCAAAGGTCCAGGCCTCAACCGCCCAAGCCTCTCCAAGAAGAGCCCAAACAAATCTGACAACGGCGAGCAGCTCTGTAGGGCACTCCCATGTTTAGATGCGTTGTGCGCCTCGCCGAAGGTCTCGACATTCTTGGCATCGGCGCCGTTCTCTCGGTCAAGGCGCGCCTGTGGAATCATCGACCCAAGCTTCCCTTTGCTTCGTGCTGAGCCCTATTTTGTAAGGGTCGACGCCGGTTCCACTTGAGGTGGAGCCACTCAACAGCTGCCAAGTTTAAACCCCGAACCCTGATGGTTTGTGGTTGAAGGCTGAAGGCAGGTTGTGGAGGGTCTGCTGTTCTCTCCATGTCCAGGCAAAGTAGGGTGGACGTGCCCAAGCGTAGGCTGAAAGCGCAGCGTACTCTGTGAAGATGTCCGTGAGATCCCCAGGACGGACTGTATCAGGTGTGACACACTCGCCCATGCGCATGGCTGACATGTCGCTAGACACTCGCTTGAACCGAAAGCCCCTCCAAACTGCCCTTCGAACAGAGGAGCCACGGCAGAGGTGTCCTTTACGAAGCTCGAACCATGGAACCCGGGCCTCCAGCGCCCGCAGGCGGGCCTCGTCGTCCGTCTCATCCTGCGAAGGAGCTTGGAATGTCGAAGCACATCGACCACCTCCTTTCCAATGTGAGAAAATCCGTGCACTCCTCGCTCACACAGCCGTCGTTGTCCCAGTACCACTTCGGCATCGGAAGGAGGCGAGGCACCCCAACGGGCCTTAGTTTCAGGAAATATCCAAGCAGATCCCAACATCCCGAGAGCTCAGGGGCCTGGGGTCTCGCAAATGGCCAGCAGAACGCATCTGGACCTGCCCCGCAAAATTCCAAGGCAGCCGTGATTCATCAAATGCAAACAAATAAACAAACACCTCCCCTCTTGAGCCTTGTTATTGGGGACATCTGTGGGACATGCTGGGACGTCGTGATGGGACGTTGCCGCCTCCACCGCCAGGAGGTTCTCTCGGCGGTAGACTCTTCCTCACAGGCCGCCGACTGAGTAGGGCTCAGGTCGTGGGTCTGTCTTTGCCGTTTCATTGTTCTGTCGCATGGCTACCGAGAACGCTGTCGAGTCGATCTGTTTGTTGTTTTGTCTCTTTGTCATGGTGTGGTACCGCCTCTACTGAGGCTCGGTTGCTGATCGTGTCGATGCGTTCGAGAGTTTGAGCTGCTGCAGATTACAGTACACAGTACACCATTTCAGACTTCCCATCCCGCTAGGTACTCCCGCTAGGTACTCCTGCTAGGTACTACGGCGAACCCCATGGCAATTCCTGTCAAGGAAAGCTCAGCCTATGCTGCAAAATTGCCAGCTTGCTTGTTCCCCTGCCCATTTGCAACAGTGTCCATCCAGGATCATCCAGGCATGTTGGCGCAAGCGCACTTAGCTTGGCTCTGGCTGTACTTGCCGCCGCCCGAACTGGCAGTAGAAAACACTCCTCTGGCTCACTTGCTCGCATTGGTTGTTTGGCTCTCTGATGGGTTGCTTGCTTTCTTATTTCAAGGACGAAGACAACAACATCAAACTTGACGGAAAACGTGCAGCAGCTACAGTAACTGACACGAGGAGTTTGGACATCGCATATGGAAACTTGCAGGCACTGTGCCAAGGACGAAGCCTGTATGCCGTGGCCGTGCTGCCGGAGTGGCAAGCCTTGCTGAAGCCGTGGAAAAGGCGGAGCAAAGGGAGTCACTTGCACAAGTTGGTGCCCCACGAAGATGGAGTGCTCCAGGTGCTCATGCCCTCGACACGCTGCAGGAAAGGCTAGAAGCGGCTAGAACTGCGTAAGCTTCATGAATCACAGTGGCTACTGAGACAGCTGCAGCCAGCTGCGACACCGGCGTAGTTGCCGTGACTTCAACCTTCCATCAATTCGAACTAGGCTGTGTCGTTGGACCTTCTTGGGATAAACTTCCTTACCTTTTTGGTCAGCAACCACAGAGGGTAACAGAGGCCGGCACGGCAGAGCTCTGCAATGGATGAGTTGCAAAAGCCTCAGATTTGATCAGAAGCTCATCCCCAAGCGGGCTTGGAGCAGGCTTCCTCGCGTGTATGGCATCATACAGCTCAGCTGGATCACACGAACTCCCTGCATGCTGAGGCTGCTGCGTAGGGAACCGGCATGGGTGGCAAGCCTTGCTCCTGCGCAAGCTGAAATGGCGTGAAAAGGGCCACGATGTAGTTGACAGACATCCGACAACCCCTTTTACCCTATGACATCATCATCCCTCAAACCCCGGAGCAAATGCCCACGCAACCCCTTCTTGCAATATGTAGAACTGTTAAGCTGTGTGTGAACGTTGCTAAACACCTCTCGGGCCCCCCCGGGGCTGCGGCCGGAGGCTCCGGGAGGTCGCTAAGCGAGACGCGCCGGGCGCGGCCCCCAGGCCCGCGCTGCGCGTCCGCCGGCTCCTGCATTGAACGAGAGGCTGTTGTAGAGGGCAAAGGCGTAGGGGGGGGGGGGGGGGGGGTTTGCCTCCGGAGTCCAGAGCCCTTCGACGTCACACCCCAGATCCCAGAGCAACGCAGCGCGACAGCAAACCTTCGTGTGCCAGAGTCCCTCCAGAGGAGCCCTTCGAAACCCCCAGATCCCCAGAGCAACGCACAGGGGTCAAACCGTGTGCACGAGTGCCCTCCAGAGCCCTTCGACGTCACACCTCCCCAGAGCAACGCAGCTCGCGACAGGGGTCAAACCTTCGTGTGCCACGAGTGCCTCCAGAGTCCAGAGCCCTTCGACGTCACACCCCCAGATCCCCAGAGCAACGCAGCGCGACAGGGGTCAAACCTTCGTGTGCCACGAGTGCCCTCCAGAGTCCAGAGCCCTTCGACGTCACACCCCCAGATCCCCAGAGCAACGCAGCGCGACAGGGGTCAAACCTTCGTGTGCCACGAGTGCCCTCCAGAGTCCAGAGCCCTTCGACGTCACACCCCCAGATCCCCAGAGCAACGCAGCGCGACAGGGGTCAAACCTTCGTGTGCCACGAGTGCCCTCCAGAGTCCAGAGCCCTTCGACGTCACACCCCCAGATCCCCAGAGCAACGCAGCGCGACAGGGGTCAAACCTTCGTGTGCCACGAGTGCCTCCAGAGTCCAGAGCCCTTCGACGTCACACCCCCAGATCCCCAGAGCAACGCAGCGCGAAAGGGGTCAAACCTTCGTGTGCCACGAGTGCCCTCCAGAGTCCAGAGCCCTTCGACGTCACACCCCCAGATCCCCAGAGCAACGCAGCGCGAAAGGGGTCAAGCCTTCGTGTGCCACGAGTGCCTCCAGAGTCCAGAGCCCTTCGACGTCACACCCCCAGATCCCCAGAGCAACGCAGCGCGAAAGGGGTCAAACCTTCGTGTGCCACGAGTGCCTCCAGAGTCCAGAGCCCTTCGACGTCACACCCCCAGATCCCCAGAGCAACGCAGCGCGAAAGGGGTCAAACCTTCGTGTGCCACGAGTGCCTCCAGAGTCCAGAGCCCTTCGACTTCACACCCCCAGATCCCCAGAGCAACGCAGCGCGAAAGGGGTCAAACCTTCGTGTGCCACGAGTGCCTCCAGAGTCCAGAGCCCTTCGACGTCACACCCCCAGATCCCCAGAGCAACGCAGCGCGAAAGGGGTCAAACCTTCGTGTGCCAAGTGCCTCCAGAGTCCAGAGCCCTTCGACTTCACACCCCCAGATCCCCAGAGCAACGCAGCGCGAAAGGGGTCAAACCTTCGTGTGCCACGAGTGCCTCCAGAGTCCAGAGCCCTTCGACTTCACACCCCCAGATCCCCAGAGCAACGCAGCGCGAAAGGGGTCAAACCTGTGCTGCCACGAGTGCCCTCCAGAGTCCAGAGCCCTTCGACGTCACACCCCCCAAAACCAGAGAAGAAGGGGACCGTTCGGGGCAGCAAAACGAAACAAGGAAGCGGTGAAACAAGGAAGCAAGCAAACAGCGTCCTCCCAGTAGAACTTGACCCGTGCGCCCACAGCGAGCTCGGATGAACCAACTCCGGGCTCAAGGTCCGAGAAGTGCAGGAACACGTCGCCTCGTCCATGCCTCAAATGAAAAGAGGCTCAAGAGAGCACTTATAAGAGTACACTTAAAAGCAACACATGAGAGAAGGGCAAGTCTGGGCATGTTCAAGCCACAATGAGGGCAACAATGAGGGCAACAATGAGGGCATATGAGGGCTCGCCTGGCGCCACGCCCTCCATCGTCACGTGCGACGAAGCCGAAGCCTTTTGCCAAGCGTGCACGAGCCAAGCAGTACGTGAGCTCATGACGTTCCTGCTGTGACGAAGTTTGACAAGTTTCCCAAAACGCTGAGTCCTGTCTCTGACCTGGTGCCAGGCCTTTGCCAGGAAAGAGCCGCCTCACCGTGCCCGTCTGCATTGTCATGCCGCCTTTGCACAGCCGAGGACATCCGAGGACATGGGCCTATCCAACGGTGAAAAAGTCGGGCCTTGAAACTGAGAAGGCGCCTGCGGCGCCTGCGCGTGTGTGGGCGGTGGCGGCGGAGGCGGTGGGGGCAACGGCAACTTCGACTTCGGGGTTCGAAGCTGGCTGTGATTCGCGTGCCCTGCCAAAGGCGAATGGCCGTATGGCTGCAGAGGATCCTTCTCCTTGTCCATCGAGTCGGAACTCCGCTTCATGGCATTCTCCAGCTCCTGAATGCTGTGGAACTTCTTGCCAGCCAGGCTCTCCAGGCTCTCCAGGCTCTCCAGGCTCTCCAGCTCTTGCACCTCATTTGGGGACGGAGGCTGCAAGCTGACCTGGCGGGGCGGTTGAAAATGGAGGTGCGCATGGGCCGCGTGGGCCGCGTGGGCGTGGGCCGTGTGGGCCGTGTGGGCCGCATGGGGATGCGCCGCCGGCGCCACCCTGTGCTGGTATTGCCATTGCTGCCATTGCCAGTGCTGCCACTGCGCATGTCGGCTTTGCCAGGGAGGGGCCTGAGGTATTGTCGTCGGCGACGGAGTTTCCTCCTTTGGCACACGGGAGTACTCGTCTTTTGGGGACACCAACTCCTTGCCGGTATCCGATCCAGGAGAAGTCGTCTCCATGGACTGTAGCGTCTCTGCTTCTGAAAGAGATTTTGTCAATGCAATGGGGACCGACCTGGCGGAGACTTCAGAAGAAGAGTCGCAAAAAAGGATCGCAAAACAAAAGAAACCCTGAGCTGGAGGCCCTGGGCTGCTCTGGCTGTCACCATTCACCTCTCGATTCTGTGCAAACCGTGCGGAGGAACTACTTGCACTCCTCTCCATAATATGAGTCTCTGTAGGAGCTCTAAGTGGCCTCACCGAGCGAGCCGAGATCCCATGTCCCCTGTGCCGTCTCCATGGGACGGCATTGATTGAATTAAATTGGAACTCAAAGCTTTGGACCACAAAAGAACACCGGGCACTGCACCTTGTAGCGCTGCTGTGGGCTATGATATCTACAATCTTAACCCTTGTCAAAGGTCAGGCCTTTTCCAGGGCTCGCACGCAAGTCTCAAGTCTCACGCGCGACGCATTGAGGTGCCGAGACGTCTGCGGTTAAAAGAGCAGGGCCACAGCACCACAATAGGCTGAGAGGCTTGGCATTGCGTCGCTTTAGAGTTCTCCAAGCGCGCCATGCACCACCCTACCACTAGACGCCATGCACGGCGCCAAGCACAGACTTCAGGCTAAGGACACCTTTGGACATTGCAGCTGCTGATTTTCAGAGCCGGGAAAACTGCTTAAACATTTCTTGTTGGCAGCATTGTTTAGGCGATGGCTGTTCATGAACATGTGATACGTCTCAATGTCTCAAGTTTCATGTTCCAATACATTCTGCCCTGGCTGATGGGGCAACCTGGCGTCGCAGCTCAGCTGGACCGCTTCACCGCCCACCTGCCCATTGTGGCCACTTCATGTCACTTCTCCTATTTGGGTGCCCTTCTGGGCTTACCCTGAGAGTGCGGGACCGTAATATACTAAGGGCTACTAAAGGCCGCGTTTAGGGAACCGACCATGCACATCCATGCACCGCAGGCTGCAAGAGGGAGCAGAGAAAAAGCACCGCGCGCCTGGTCAACCCTGCGAGGGCGCGGCGGGCATCTGTGTCAGCGGGAGCTACAAGCGACAAGGCCTCCAAGGCCTCCGTTTTTGATTCTCTGAAGGAGATGAAGAAGAAGGCTCCATCACACCCTAAAGCTCTCCTTGACAAGTGCTGGTCTGGCCTTGTTGGCCATTTTCTCTGCGAGGGCGTAGGCTCTTTGAACACCGTCTCCCTGGCAGCGCGTCCAAACTACAACAGAGCGGGGGCGGAGGGGCAATGGAAGTCGAAGCTTTTGCCCCCTCATGTCGGTGTTCAGCTGCTAACGGCTAACGGGACCTCCTCAATGAGCTGCAGCGCCCTCTCCAGGTCACCTTCCTGGCTGAAGCGCCTTTGTATGATCCTGATCATGCGCCACAACACGCTGCCACAGCTCGGCACAACATGGCAACACTCCATCAAAAGCCGCTTTCAAGCGTAAGCGCGCAATCAAGCGCGCACGGGTTCGCACATGCAGGTACGTGGAAGCAGAAGCGTTCAGGAAAACTGGATGTAGGCATGCACGCAGGCGCAGGTGCAGGCGAGCAGCGATACTGCGAAAGCCGGTAACCCCTTGGCCCCTCCCCACCTCCCGAAACGACCGAATTGTTTGCCTCTGGAGGAGATGCACACGAGCATCGCTCGTTGTAAGCACATGTAAGCACCACGTTCGTCTCGAGAATGGGAGAAAGGCTCAGAAGCAGCTGTTTCGGAAGTTCAGCTCCTCCCCTTCTTTCAAGCACAACTTTGCCTCATACAGACAAAGCGCAAAGCCAAAGCCACACACTTTGTGCTCTCTGACGTCTCGTGAATCCGCTCTCCTGGCAAGCTCCTTGCTCCCTGGAGCCGGGGTCATGCCGAGGTCCTCTCCGAGAGCGCCACAGACGCAGAACGAGACACACAAGCCGAACTTCGCATCACCCGCAAGCTGAACTACTGAATTCATTGTTCGTTTCACAGAAGAGTTCGTGTCTTCTCCCTCAGAGTGCTCTCAGAGTGTGAGCTCTTTCTCTCGCACGGCATGAGAAGGAGGGCCCCCCCCCCTGTCCTCGTTGCCGTGGAGGCAGAGGATCACCGGTGCTGTGAGGTTTCCTTCAAGGGAATAGCCCCCGCACCAAAATAAACTCCTCACTTTCCTGGCTTTGTGCAGAACAACTCTGACACCCATCCTACAGAGCTTTTGAAAAACTTCCCCAAGCCTTTAGAGTCTAAGCCGTCTCGAGCCATTATTATGTGCAGGCCCTTGAAAGCTCGGGCATATTCCGTTTCTGTCACGGCGTGGTGGAATTGGCACATCCGGCAGCCTCATCTGTGACCCATGAGTGTTCTTCGCATGTCAGGGCGCGCCTTCCCTCAAGTCCTGGCCGGTTGGCTTGCCCAGCTCTTCCCCGGAGCCCACGAAATCCAGCACCTCAAAATGACGAAGAAACGACACTGCAGACAAAGTCACCCCAGACGAGTAGACTGGCAGATCTGAGCTTCAGGACGTCATCGGCGATTTGGAAGGCCAGACCGAGGTAGAAGCCGTAGCTGTACCTGCAGTCATCTCACAAACACAAACACAAACACAAGCACAAACACAAACACAAACACAAACACAAACACAAACACACACACACACACACACACACACACACACCCACACTTTTGCAACGACGGCTTCCATCTGGCACACGCCATGCACGCAGTGTGGGGCACAAGACATCACACACCTCGCCGGGCGGGCCAGTGAGCACCGCACTCGCCCGGCCTTGTTACAGGCGGTCGGCAAAGGGCTCTGTAGTTTGGGCAAAATCTAGAGTCTTGATCTGAAGGAAATCGAGTAACATGAGATTGGGAAAAATCACATTTCCGAGCTCACAACATGCGGCGGCCAGGAGCGACGCCGTTTTGTAGAAGCTCCTTTGTGTTTTGTACCGGATCAGATGTCTCGAACGGGGGAGCTCTGGAAAGCGCCAAAAATGAACTCTGAGCCCCGGTCTTCTTCAAGTAGTTGAAGAGGCTGACTTGGGTGTCGAAGCGCTTCGCGCTTTGCGACATCTCCCCGTAGCCGAACCTGGGAGGGCAACGCCCCGCAACGCCCCACCGTCACATTGCAATGATTCCCCACCTTGGGTGTGGGCTTGTTCGGTTTAAACTAAACTCTTCTCCTCGCCGGGTCTGCTCCTTGCCCATCACCCACATCCCACCCCAGAGTATCCTGAGAGTATCCCTGGAGCGCACAACCCCAAGTGCCCAACCCCAATTCCAAATCTGGGTGGGGATGTTCCAAACAAAACAAATGATCAAAAACTATGTGTCATTCTTCCGGGGCCTTCAAGCGCTTTTGGACTTCTTAACTTCTTAGGCCCCGGACTCCTCGATCACCAAGGAGACCAGTCGAGTTACCTGACATTGTAGAGTACATCGTTGCGCGCGTCGTGGCGCGCATCGTTGCGTTGTTGCGCGCTCTAGATTCGGGTCCCGCCTCGTCGTCCTCCAGGGACTCAATGAGACCCGAGGCGTGGGCAAAGAGGAAGTCACCACTCAGCACCTCGAGAGCTCATCTAGACACAAACATGGAAAATACAAAAAAAGACCTCGCCCCTGAAGCCTGCAAAACGATTCGCTGGGGGAGTTGGCCAAGGCTCTGGCTGCGACATCTGGGCCGAAAATCCTATGCATCGTCTGCTGCTGCCTCCTGCAGCATCAGTGGAAGCCGATTGTGTCTATATGCTCTCGTTTTTCTGCGACCTTGTTTGTGTCTTAATATGCTCTCATTTTTTCTGCGACCTGCCTTGTGTCAGCGTCATCGAGAATGTCATCGTGAACCAGGGAAGCAGTGTGGATGATCTCGATCGCCGTGGCCAGTACCAGGACCTTGTCGTAGGCAGCACCTCCGACACCAGAGAGGCCACACTCGCCAGACAAAAAACGTTGAGCCTCAAAACAAAAAAACAAAAAGTTTGCAAATGCGAACAAAAACGCAAACAAATCGAGCCTTGAGCGGGGTCTGCTGCCATCTGCGGAGTCCGCGATGCTGTCCTTTCACGCTGGGGATTCTTGGGGACACGGGGCCCCGTGTCCCAGCACGACTTACAATGTCCTGCGCAGGGAGGTGGAGGAGTCGTCCCTGGTCAGGCGAATGATTTTTTTTGAGTCAGCAAGAGTCAGCAAGAGTCAGCGATGCACCTCAAGGAAATGGCTTGAGCACTGAGGCCGGTGCAGCATGGAGTGGACCAGCAAGCCTTTTGCTTAGCTTGGCTTTTTGCCAGACATGAACGTGACTGAACGAGTCTGCCGCAAAAGGGGAGTCAAAAGAAACAGCTCGTCACAAGCCCCGAGGAGCCGGCAAAGAGCTGGCCGAAGCCGCTTGCCACCACTGCTGAAGACCTCTCACATCTCTCACTTTGAGACAAAACTTTAAGATGCGCAGAAGCCCATTCTTGATACCCCAAAAAAGCGACCCAGCGCCATCCCAACGCCATCGCGCCGCCTCCTGGACCGCGTACTTCAGCCTGGGAGAAACACGACAGAGAAACTTTTCTCCCCGAGGAACACTTCCGCAATTTGGAGAAGCACAGCAGCCTCGAAGCCCTCTCAAACCTAACAGCTCAACACCCCAACTTGGCCGAACAAGCTTCGGTTTTTGAACGCGCTCCTTAGGATCATCTTGCACTGCACTTGCCACTGCCACTGCACTACCTGCACTCATCCAGCAAGCCTAACTAGCCCAAGTAGCCGAAAGCCCCGGTGACTCAGTCTAGGCAAAGTCTTCCGGGCCGCCCGCTTCTGACTCTGCGCCGCCTCGCTGAGGCCCAAGAGCCGGCACTGCACCTGCCCATGCCGCTGACAGCGACTGCAGCAACTGCTGTCAGACGATGCTCAGAGGACAGGTTCAGTCGCCGGGGGGCAAGGGGGGGGGGGGGGGGCATTGTGAGCCTCTCTGGAATTCTCTGAAATTCCGCTGAGCAATTTCTCAGGAGGTATCTCTGAAAATCTCGCTTTGCTCTTGCGAGCTCGCTTTGCTCTGCATCTAACTTTTTGGTCATTTTTGCTGCTTTGTGCTGCTTTGTGCTGCTCTGTGCAGCGGCACCCTGCATCAGCTCCAGAGCCCCCACAAAGTGCACCAAGCAGATTACACACACAGACACACACAGACATACAAACTTTTGCGAAAAAATCACTTAGAAAGCATGCAAGTAGACAGCGCACTCTCTCTCGCTCTTCTTCTTGCTCTTCTGCTGGGCTCGTTCTTTCTTTTCTTGAGGCTGACAGAGCGAGGCCCCCGCGCAGTCCGCGCGCCCCCGCTTCTGCTGGGCTCTTTTTCTCTTTCTCTCTCTCTTCCTCTCCCTCCTTCCTGAGGTAAAGAGTGAAATCGCGCTCTCTCTCTCTCTCTCCCTCTCCTTCTCTCTCTCTCTCTCTCTCTCTCTCTCTCTCTCTCTCTCTCTCTTGCGTTGTGTCAGGGGGCCTGAGGGGCGAACCCCCGTCTCTCTCTCTCTCTCTTTCTTTCTTTCTTTCTTGGGGGCGTGGGGGCGAACCCCCTGGCTGTGCGCCTGCCCCGGTATCTCTCTCTCTCTCTCTCTCTGTTCTGGTAGAGAGAGTGGCTTGTGTGTGTTCGCGCGCCTCCTCCTGTCCCTCGGCGATGCAAGAGAGGAGCGACTCCAGGTCGAGCTGATCCGGCAGCGGAGCTCGCCGCTCCAAGCCCCGCATCAGCAGCCACTCGATCTCCTCCATTTTCGTCCGGTGGGATATCTCGGAGGTATTCCTTTAAAAAAAGGCTTCAATTCCAATAAGGCGCCACGGTCTCCTGGGAGTCAAACTCCAGGCCCAGTCCCTTCGGCGCAGGCCCTGGCAAGTCCGCCAAAGGCTTGGGCTTCTCTCGAGAAAGCTCTAAGGAGGCATCACGGTCGAGTCATAACTCGTGAGAACAAAGAAACACACGCAAAAGACTCGCCGAGGCGGCGCGAGGGCGCCCGAAGCTCGACGCCTCGGGCGACCTGCTGGATGGAGTCCAGCCTGACTACATATGACTGACCAGCGACATGTGATCACTTCGATCTCTGCTCCAAAGCTCTGGACCTGTCACGGGAGCGCTTCTCGCAGCTCCGAATCCGCTGGAGCTCCGCTCGGAGGCGCAGATTGGCCACCTGAGCATGGCTACGCGGCGATGAAGTCGGCGACTTGGCTGTACTTGGCATGCCTTTTTGCAGAGGCAGACCGTGTGCCTTCATGTCGAAGATCCGGCTCTCGGCGTCCGTGGCCTCCGTGGGCCCTATGAGGTCATCCACGGCCTCGGGCTCAGACAAACACCCTCGACGCTCGACTCCTCGGCTTGATCTCGGGCCTCGTCACCGGCTTGCTCCATCAGGGGCAGGCAGGAAACGCCTTGCACCAGCGTCAGCAAGGCCTGCGCCATGAAAATACGCAAAATCGCGACGTTCACAATATCCAACTGGACGCGACACATCATGAAAACAGCTCAGCAAATCTCAAGAACCAACGTGGCCGACGCCTCCTTCTCCTCGCTCTCCTCGAGGCACTCCAGGCGAGCGGCTGCTCGGGAGCCCAGCTTGTTCACCTGAGAACAAATCTGCCAAAGAACCGAAGAACTTCCGATTGAACTCCGATGAACTTCCGGAGCCGCCCCCCCCTAGGCCCAAAACCCCAGGCCCAAAACCCTAAACCCTAAACCCTAAATAGCGCTATAAAACCTATTTTATCCCCCCCACTCCCCCCCCACTCCCCCGCTCCCCCGCTCCCCCACTCCCCCACTCCCCCACTCCCCCACTCCCCCACTCCCCCACTCCCCCACTCCCCCACTGCCCCACTGCCCCACTGCCCCACTGCCCCACTGCCCCACTGCCCCACTGCCCCACTGCCCCACTGCCCCACTGCCCCACTGCCCCACTGCCCACTCCCCTCCCCCCTCCCCCCCCGTCTACGGAGAACTTGACATGGCGAGGAGCCAGGCGGATCGTCGGCATCATTCCCCCCTCCTGCCAAACCGCGCATGGGGGAAGGGACGGAAAAGGCACAAAGGCAACGCAGGAGGACACAGTGAAATGCGGCAATCTGTGTTCATTGCAGAACTGTCCTTGACCCGGCGCAGCGCTTCCTCGAAGTCCGAGGCGCCCTCGCTGAGGCGGCCGGACAGAAGCTCCCTCAGCCGGGGGTCCTCGCCAGGCTTCTTTTGGTTTTCTTCTGGAGCTGCTGCGACAAACCGGGGCAGCCTGCTCCGAAATTGGCGCTCCAAAAAGAGGTCGGGTCCTGCTGCATGGCGAAGATGATGGGCGCGGAGATGCGTCCGAGCTTTAAAGCACCTTCGCTGCCCCCCAAGCAGCGCTTGAAGGCGCGAAAGCAAAAGGGCGCGCAAACGGATGCCATGTGTCGGATCTCGCGAGGCCGCCAAGTGAGGGCTGGACTACGCATCCCCACCGTGCGGACATCCTTGAGCAGCCCCACCACCAAGCCGATGTCGGAGCCAAACCTACCAATCTCTGGTGCTTTCGGGCTTTGGGAAGGGTTTGGAGGCTTGGGAGGGGTTTTGGGATGCTTTGGGGAGGGTTTTTGTTTGGGTTCAGGCGGCTCAAGGCTTTGCAGGGAGTACTTGCTGGCAGCGAAAGTTTTCGAGTCAGGCTGCTCGGCCATCTGCTGGGCGATCTCGTTGCTGACGTTGTTCACGAAGGCCGCGCACGCGGTGGAGGCTCCGAAAAACCTGTTCATCCACCCCGCACCATACTAGCACGGGCAAAACGGTAAACATCCAAGAGCATCGAGTACCCTAGACTCTGAGCTAATTGACTCAGGACCCTAAAGGCTTCAAGCCCTTCAGACCTACATGAGTTCAGCCAGATGCCGTTCTGAGGCGCGAGCGCCGCCACGCCGGCCACCTGCTCGATCTCAAGGTACTGCTTCACAGTCAGGTCCAGGTTCCTCGGTGCGAAGGCAAGCGTCTGCGCTGTCTCTCAGGGGCGTCCAAAGGGGAGGCAGGTTTCGGGTGCCCCAAGCCAAGACTCCGGAACTTGCTCTTAGGGCATGACAGCTCACTGTGAGCTACTGTGCACTCAGGACACAGGATGGTTCAAGGGTGTGTTCGGGCCCGCGCCACAGCAGCTCCCGTTTTCGGAGCTGGCCATCGCTGTACCTGCCACATTGCACCACCCCCCTCCTCCCACCGCCCAAAGAACACCAGGCAAAAGGAGCACGCGGCGATGGTCTTCGCGATGAGTTTTCTGCACCTCACTTGGCAGCCCTACTCCGCAACATCCTGCAAACACTTACATAGGTCGCCAAGCCAAGACGCGCGATATCGTGCGATGAAAGACATGCAAAAAGCGAAAACGCGTAAGGGATGCAACGATCGCCGTTGCGAAGACAACTGGTTCGCCTTGACTCGGTGGATCTGAGTCTTGGGCGGCCGGGAGTGCAGCTTGGCCATGGCCCACTGGGCCGTGGCGTAGAGGGAGTCCCCTCCGAGGAGAGAAACCTCTGAAAAGGCTTCGCTTGTTCAGACCCATTTGGGGGGTTTCCGACATTCGGGTTACCTTTTGGGGTCCTTATTATAAGGGAATCCTGCTATGTGGGGGTCTGCTATTTTCGGGGTCCCCTACTTTCGTAAACACCCATTTGAGCTTTCGACGAACCCTCGGGATTCTCAGGGCCAGCCCAGGGAGCCTGTGGGCCTATAGTCTCTCCACAACCCCTTCTTCGCGCCTTGCGCCGGTCCGCAGCCTGGGAGGCGGCCACGCCCTGGCTGTTGGCCGACAGGAGTAGGAAAGGAAAAAGAGACGGGGGCGCCCCTTGAAACAAGAAAACAAAAAACTGCAAAGCCCAAGAAAAACGACACACAAGTTGCCAAGGATGTCCTTGAAGACCCCAGAATCTCGCACGCTTGGGGTTCCAGGGTTAAGGGTGCCCATCTGCACCTCGGAACGACTCAAGGACAGGTCCAAGGAGATACCCAGCAAGTCCAGGCCATACCTGGGCATCTCGATACTCAAAGCGGGCTTCGTTTTTGGTCCGCGGGATTTCTCACTGAAAATCTGCGGATTTGGAATTTAGAGCCTTGTGAAGTGCTGGCCCTGGGCCTCTGGGCCCCTGGGCCCCTGGGCCCCTGGGCCCCTGGGCCCCTGGGCTCCTGGCCGCGTCCAAATGAGAGGGTTCGCATCGAGGCCAAGGAGGGCAGCCTCTCTCAAAAAAGAAAGCAAGACAGAAAGAAAGAGAGAAAAAGAGGGAGAGTACTCGTCGCTTAAGGGCTAGGGAGGGACTCCTTCTGCTCTAAGAGTGAGGCCTGTTCCGTTATGCTGCTCCCCAATTGTGGTAACGCCGGCTTTCAGGCCTTAAGCCCCCTGCCTCTGGATGTGGTATGACACCACTATGGCTTGGTACGGGAACAAGCATAACCAGCAGGCGCGAGAGTGTCAGCGCAGACTTGTAGGTGCGGATGAGTGTATGGAACAAATCTCAATGCGTCTTTGGCGGCGGTGGTTTGGGTGGCTCGCAGCCAGTCCGCGCGCTTGGTTGCTGGCTTGTCTTGGGCGGCTGAGGGTAGGTCACAGGATGTCGTAGGTCGGACGGCGACAGAAAAGATATGTGCAGTGAATTCGAGCGCTTGTACACAGTGTGTGTGTGTGTGCTCAACTATCTACAGGGGGCGGGGCTTGCTTCTTGCTTCCGCCTGGATGTTGGGCGTCTTCAAGGGCGCCGGATCCGCCAGGTGCTTCACGAAGGAGGTGGCCACGGCCTCGACGAGCACTTCGGATGACAATGCACAAACAAGGAAGGAGGGGTTAAACAAACAACCTGAACAAAGATCCGAGGCCTCAGGTGGGTCGCACAAAGAAGGCACCCCACCGCCCCGACTTTCTTCGAGAACCAGATGGACATTTGAAGCGATTCTTGGCTCGGGGCCATGAAAGTCTTCCCGTCGGCTTTCAGTTCCAGGTCCCACTGGTCCTGGCGGGGATGCTTAGTTTAGCCGCAACTCACATCGTTGCAAGGCCAGCACCGGAACTCTCAGAAACAGTCTCAAAAGCTGGACATTGCGACAGCAACCGGTCCTCCGCGTGGAGCATGGCTGCGATGTAAAGCTCCTGGGGCCGCGCAATGGGGTGCCATGGGATGTTGGGGCGCGGACGAATCGACAGAACCGTTCATTCCCTCCTCGACGACGGTTGCCAGCTCCTCATGCTCCTTGGAAATCGCTGACTCCGACGACTGTGGAGGCAGGGTTGCCTGCCCGGGAGCAACAGTGAGGACCTCGCAAACACCCTCACAACTCAGGTCCCATGGCCGCAAAGAAGAAGACGACAAATCAATACACAGGTTGCACATCTCGAATGGGTCTATGTTTACGCTTACATGCGTGCATGTTTTGTTGATTCTCCGTTGGTGTATACTCGAAATCCAAGCTCTGACCCTGGCCTTTGCACAAAGCAGGCTTACGGCGGCTCGAGAGAGCAGGAAGGACAGGAAGCCTGCCAAATGGGGAGCGAAGGCATCCCAAGTTTCCGGACTTGGAGTTTATGCGGGTTAGGGTATCGGCTTCCTTTTCTCCCTGCCCCCGCCTTCAGTCTTCAGAGCCTGCACACACGGAAGAGAACATCGCAGAAGTAACAAGGCAAGCTCCCACGAGCCCAGTGCCCGCGCGCCGGCCTTCTCGATGCTGCCGCGATATTTTAAAGGAACCCGTGCTGCGAAATTCCGCAGATTGGCCACAACGTTCAGCAGGTGAGGCTCTCGGACCTCTGGAGAGAGAACGGCCATTCTCCACTCGCTTTCCGCCCTATATCACGGCTCTTTGCAGGACTTCTTACGGGTTTGATGCTGGCTGCCGCCTTCAGCGACACTTCGTGGCAGTACCGAATGAAGGCGCGCAAGGCAAGCTGGGAACGCGGGCCCTCTCGATGGTGTTGAGGAACGCGTTGTTGAAGATCTTTATGAACGACCTTGGACATCACCCCAAAACCTGCACCTACTCACGGTGTCCCAACTCACCTCTCTTGCGACTCTACAGCTGAGAGGGCGCCGAGAGAGGATGCTAAAAGTGTAGGACCAGTGTAGGACCCAGGCTGTGCAATCAGGTCCGTGACGATCACAGACTTTTTGCCCGCCTTGCCGGCAAGAGCGCTGATGGGCTCCTGCACATCTGCAGCTATACGCTAGGCCGCTAGGCAGCAATGGAACGCTGGAGCACTGCAGGCACTGCAGGCCACATCCTGACGCATTTCTTGGGCGGCCGTGCTCCATCGTCGTCTTGAGAAACCTAACCACGGCTAGCCGTGTTGTCTCAGTACTCGTTGGCAGCATACAGAGACCGTCAACACTTCAGGTAGGGCAGCAAGAGAAACACTGAGGTTGCGCTGGTTGCGCTCCATCGACTCTAGTGGTGCAACGAAAAAATCAACAATAAACACATGCCCGAGCTGCCCTTGGCTCGGCAGATCTTGCCCAGCCTCCCTGACTGCCTCGCAGCATCGTGGTTCAGGGTAGAGAGAGGTGCCAGGGGGTCCAAAGTGGGCTCTTGGACCCAGGCCATGCTACCGCCAGGGTGAGTGCTGCACCCCGTGCTGCTGCTGCATCCTGAGCTCAAGCCAAGGTCAACATTCCAGGCTCAGGTGCTCAAAGAGGCGAGGCGGCAAGGGGAGCATGTGCGCACATGCTTCGCGGCTCAGATCTGCAAACTGCACATCACCGCCCGCGTATCCCTCCACAAGGCTAAATCAAAGGTTGGCCCCTTACCATGGACCCTCCAAGACTTGGGGCCTGGGGAGTCAAGGGCTCCCGCTTTGGGGTTTGGGGGGTTTGAGGTGTTGAGGGTTTAGGGATTTCAGGGTTTATAGGGTTTTAGGGTGTAGGGCTCTTGGTTCAGGGGAGGTGACAGCAGGTTCTAGGCTTAGGGTTGGTTTAGGGATTGGGGTAAGTTTAGGTTTCGGCTTTAGGGCCTATGGGTCTTAGGGTTTCCGGGCTTGGGGTCCATCCGTCGTGTATATACGACTTTGCATGTCTTATGGTTCAGGAATTTGGGGTTTCGGGTTTCAGTGTTTTGGGCTTAGGACCATCGTGGGCCCTGTGTAAATCCAAGAGGCAGCATGACCTTGTTGCCCCCCACGTAGACTGTCCCACAGAGACCCATTCCCTCCGCCTCCGCCCCCCTGTTTATCATGCGCCTAGGAAGCGATCACATGCACATATGAGCCGTGCACAATTTTGGCTCTAGCCTTTTAGCGACTCTAAACTTCTAATTCAACAAATTTCAGTAAATTCAACATATTGTAAGCGCCGGACAAGGCGTGGGTTCTGCCGCACATCCCTGACGGACGTTCTGAAGCACAACGAACCGTGTGGCTTTGTGGCTGCCTCTTGAGGTTGTCTCGGGTTTTGCCGGGGTTTTGTGGGGCTTTGTCGGGGGGTGAGGGCTGAGCCAGAAAAACGTGGGCAGGAAAACGGAAATGGTTCAAGTTGGGCCCACGAAAGCCTCTCCGGGAATCTTGGTTTCAAGTTGGGCCCAAGAAGGCCTCTCCGGTGAATCTTGGTTTCAAGTTGGGCCCAAGAAAAAAGACACGTCACGAGGTTTTACGCAAATGTCCTAGTTTGTTTTTTCGGACTCGGCCCCGGCATTGTTCTGATTGAGCCCTTCGCGTTTTCTGACTAGCGCGCCCCGTTTTCTGACTTCGGCGTTGCTCCCCTTTGTCGGGTTTTGTCGGGCTGCCCTGGAGTGCGACCTTCTTCGAGGAAGCGGTCCATCTCTGCCAGCCCGCACACGAACCTCGGCTCGAGAACTTTTTAGCCACTTGGGAAGACTCGCAGAACCCTGTAACGGGGGCGCTCAGAACCTTCCAAGCATCAGGCCGGCGTTTCAAAGGCATTGAGCATTGGTGGTGCATCAGCTACCGGCCCTCTGCATATTCAAGCTGTGATTTGTGGTTCTTCGGTATTTGCATTCAGGTACCTCCTCTCCTAAGCTCCTCCTCTGCACAAGCATTGGAGTCCTTGGAGTATTTAGTTACGACGTCAGCCCTGACATTCAGAGTTCTGAGCTAAAAAAATGCAACATCCCAGTGATGCAGGCGGGACCCTCAGTTCAAGCACTTACTGAATTGGCACGCGTGCCGAGCACATTGACGCGCTTCTTTTGCCACGGGGGGTGACACTGGTATGTGACAGCTGAGCTGAGATTTTCCCTACTCATTC